CCCCCCCCCAATATTTAATTTTATTTTAAAAAAAAAGAAGATTTTTTAAAAATAATTAAAAAAATTACATTTCATGTTTGAAAATCTGTTGGTTATTTACATTCAAGAAGATCAAGACCTCTTAGATGGGACAGACCGATTTTACACCATTTTAAGGGGCATACAAACTTTTTTTTACTAGGTTAATTTTATGTTCGGTAATAGTTTATCTAATATTTCTAAACTTCTCAATGATGTCTTAAGTTTTTCTGTCCCGTCTCATGTGAAGTTTCCTCTCTTGTGTTTCAGAGTGACCTGTGGTCGTTGGGAATCACAGCCATTGAGATGGCCGAAGGAGCCCCACGTGAGTAAAATGGTTCACTGCTTTGTGCATATTGGGATTTATGTTTTCATAGAAAAGGTATACACCATCCAAGGTTACATCAGGACAGGGCTACTTCATTTTTCAAGGTCATCAAAGCAGAATCCTCACTTTTTGGAAGTTTAACAAAAAAATGTATTAAATAACCCTGAAGCAGTGCCTACACTGAATTAAATATTTTGCAAATAAATGTGCCTTCATTTTGAAACTTGATGGATGCAAGCCAACGCATATAAAAAGTTGCCGTATGTTAAGTTGCGTCGCATTATGACATTGGCTGAAACATATGTGAATGTCACAGACCTCTTCCTTGCATCTGTTAGATATATAAGACCGTGGTCAGAGTCTGGACAAGCCGCGTTAGCCGTTCTCAGTGGAAGGCTGTCTCACAGATGGCTGAGCAGTGACGGATAGGCAAAAGGGCAGGCAGACTGTAGTGATCTTGTCCTGGCTGGAGAGGGGAATAATCCTGTAGGAAGGTGCCCTGGCAGGGTGGTACTGCTTTGGCCAGGGGACAGAAAGCTGCTGTGCAGTGCACTTGAGGACAAATCTGCCTTTTTTTTTTTAATGTAGTCCATTGGAGAGGTGACTCACCGTTGTGACTGCTGACAACAAATGGAAATGTGTGTGTGTGTGTGTTTGTGCATGTATTTTTGTTGGCACTGGCATATTGGCCCTTGGTATGTAGCAACAGATCTGTGTCCAAAAGTGACATTGTTGGTCAAAGCTTGACCGTCCTCTAGTTTGGAATGAGCTTGCCATGCCTGCTGCCAGGCTGAAAGACATTGTACCCTCAAACAGCGACCATTCTGTGCTGGGAACTCACTCGCACCTGCCCATGTAGTCTGATACTTGCCATCTGCGTCTATTCAAGCCGCACAATCCTGTTCCAGAGTTGCTATTAGCTTCATATTTGGTTGATTAGTTGAAAGCGAGCTGTTGGACTTCACAAACATGTTGAAAATTGAATTTTTAACCTCTTGTTGATGCGCATTTGAAGCGCATTTGAGAATTAGAAGTATTTTTAATGTCAGTTCAAGAAAACACTTACAGAATATATTACCAGGACTACATGCTTTGACAGTATTCACACGACTTTTAAATATGGCTCATATCATGCACTTGTCTAAACAGGCAATGCTGCAAAACTGACCTAGATGTGTAAAACACCCCACCCTGGAATATTCGTCACACGAAACATCTTCAGCAAATACCATCATATAATTTAATATGAATTTATGCACTCAATTTAATCATTAGAATTTGCATTGTGACGTCCGTTGTCACTGTTCAAAACAAGTGTCTCATTATTTGAGTGCTAATGTATATCAGTATAGTTTAAATGGTTTTGGAAATGTATAAATGGTTTTTTATTTTGTTTTATTTATTTAATTTGATTATTTTTTGTTGTTTTTATTTATTTTGTGTTTTGTTTTGTGCTTTGTGTTTTGTTTTGGTTTGTTTTGTTTCGGTTTGTGCTTTGCTTTGTTTTGTGCTTTGTTTTGCTTTGCTTTGCTTTGCTTTGCTTTGCATTGCTTTGCGTTTTTCACCGCAAGGGTAAATCAAGCACACGATTGGTGTCACATGTGAGGGGGAAAATCCAATCTGAGCCATGTTTAACTGCAGTGTGAATAAAGCCTTTAGTAGCTAGCTTTCTGTGCACATTTTGAATGGGTGTCATTGTGAGTGCAATGCATAATAAAAGTGCTTTCTGACAAGAGCAGGTCTTTATTGTATGTAAAGGATATTAATATATAAGCCATAAATATATTGCTTCTTGTCATGGTCCTGATCACTGTCCAATCAGAATGAAGCATTCAAGAGATAATAAACAGAAATATGCAATCTGATTTTATGTTTTGGCACATAAACTCTAATGGATATTTTGTCCAGTCTGTTTCTAAAAGCTAGGCTGAGATCTGCTGGACAGTTTTGGACAGCACAACACATCCAGTGTTAACATTCTCCTCTCTCTCCCCACAGCCCTTTGTGATATGCACCCAATGAGAGCCCTGTTTCTGATCCCTAGAAACCCGGCTCCCAGGCTCAAGTCCAAGAAGTGGTGAGTGCCCCTCTCTTTGTTCGCAAAGGTCACAAAGACAGACCCCCAGTCCGGAGCTTCTGCGAGACCAAACAAGATCTCCCAAGCACTCTGTCCCATCTACTTTTAATCAGAAAGTCCTGAACACTTATTCACTGTTCACTTCATCTGTCACATGTGATCTTCATTCGATATGTCAGCCCATTTGAGTACAAACGCCTTGAGAAAGGTTGCTTGTCACGCTAGACATACAGGTTTTTGTTTGTTAACAGCAACTGATATGTACATGATTCCTAAACTTGTAAACAAACTCACTCTTGCCAGACAGCTTGACAAAACAAGAAGCCAAAAATAAAGAGAGGGATGGGCCTGCAGCGTTCCCCTCAAGCTTTCCCTCATATCTGCAGGTCTAAAAAGTTCCAGTCATTCATTGAGAGCTGCATGGTGAAAAACCACAACCAGAGGCCCAGCACAGAGCAGCTCCTCAAACATCCCTTTATCCGAGAACTGCCCAACGAGAGACAGATCCGCATTCAGCTCAAGGACCACATCGACCGCACCAAGAAGAAGAGAGGCGAGAGAGGTGAGCGCGACTTTAGCACTAGATTTAGCAACTTTCAGACCCTTTTAGCGCCTTTTCCCCATAGAATATTCATACTGACAAACCTAGCGACTTTTTTGGATAAACCTTAGCTATGGTTCAGTTGGAAGATTTCGCCAGTGCTGTCCCGCGAACGCGAGGTCTGACTTTCCCGGAGAAGTGTCACCTTTCTCGGCGTCTGTTCTGTGCAGTGAGCGGCAGAGAAGCAGCGCATTCAGTTGGCCGCACCGCAGCCGACTCGTCAATAAATGAGTAAAAAAACAGCGTTTCCTAGCACCTGTCACTTACTGATTGTTTGGAATTATAAATATAAGCGTAGTTCTTCTGTTAATATCACATGCACTTTTTTCTTTGTTGTTTTTTTTAGTTTGCTACTCAGACGCAGGCAGTGCGCTGCAAGAGACAAAAAAGTAATATAGCCAAAACAACCGCATAGCCGCTCTTTAGTGTAGATGCATGTTGATTTTATCAGACGATGCCGCAATTATAAATGAGAGTGACTCCTGGTTAACATGTATTAAAAGGGGTCGCGTTTAGTCACTATTTAGTGTGGTATTTTTGGACAATATTCACTCATCAAAAAATTACATTTCATGTTTGAAAATCTGTTGGTTATTTACATTCAAGAAGATCAAGACCTCTTAGATGGGACAGACCGATTTTACACCATTTTAAGGGGCATACAAACTTTTTTTTACTAGGTTAATTTTATGTTCGGTAATAGTTTATCTAATATTTCTAAACTTCTCAATGATGTCTTAAGTTTTTCTGTCCCGTCTCATGTGAAGTTTCCTCTCTTGTGTTTCAGAGTGACCTGTGGTCGTTGGGAATCACAGCCATTGAGATGGCCGAAGGAGCCCCACGTGAGTAAAATGGTTCACTGCTTTGTGCATATTGGGATTTATGTTTTCATAGAAAAGGTATACACCATCCAAGGTTACATCAGGACAGGGCTACTTCATTTTTCAAGGTCATCAAAGCAGAATCCTCACTTTTTGGAAGTTTAACAAAAAAATGTATTAAATAACCCTGAAGCAGTGCCTACACTGAATTAAATATTTTGCAAATAAATGTGCCTTCATTTTGAAACTTGATGGATGCAAGCCAACGCATATAAAAAGTTGCCGTATGTTAAGTTGCGTCGCATTATGACATTGGCTGAAACATATGTGAATGTCACAGACCTCTTCCTTGCATCTGTTAGATATATAAGACCGTGGTCAGAGTCTGGACAAGCCGCGTTAGCCGTTCTCAGTGGAAGGCTGTCTCACAGATGGCTGAGCAGTGACGGATAGGCAAAAGGGCAGGCAGACTGTAGTGATCTTGTCCTGGCTGGAGAGGGGAATAATCCTGTAGGAAGGTGCCCTGGCAGGGTGGTACTGCTTTGGCCAGGGGACAGAAAGCTGCTGTGCAGTGCACTTGAGGACAAATCTGCCTTTTTTTTTTTAATGTAGTCCATTGGAGAGGTGACTCACCGTTGTGACTGCTGACAACAAATGGAAATGTGTGTGTGTGTGTGTTTGTGCATGTATTTTTGTTGGCACTGGCATATTGGCCCTTGGTATGTAGCAACAGATCTGTGTCCAAAAGTGACATTGTTGGTCAAAGCTTGACCGTCCTCTAGTTTGGAATGAGCTTGCCATGCCTGCTGCCAGGCTGAAAGACATTGTACCCTCAAACAGCGACCATTCTGTGCTGGGAACTCACTCGCACCTGCCCATGTAGTCTGATACTTGCCATCTGCGTCTATTCAAGCCGCACAATCCTGTTCCAGAGTTGCTATTAGCTTCATATTTGGTTGATTAGTTGAAAGCGAGCTGTTGGACTTCACAAACATGTTGAAAATTGAATTTTTAACCTCTTGTTGATGCGCATTTGAAGCGCATTTGAGAATTAGAAGTATTTTTAATGTCAGTTCAAGAAAACACTTACAGAATATATTACCAGGACTACATGCTTTGACAGTATTCACACGACTTTTAAATATGGCTCATATCATGCACTTGTCTAAACAGGCAATGCTGCAAAACTGACCTAGATGTGTAAAACACCCCACCCTGGAATATTCGTCACACGAAACATCTTCAGCAAATACCATCATATAATTTAATATGAATTTATGCACTCAATTTAATCATTAGAATTTGCATTGTGACGTCCGTTGTCACTGTTCAAAACAAGTGTCTCATTATTTGAGTGCTAATGTATATCAGTATAGTTTAAATGGTTTTGGAAATGTATAAATGGTTTTTTATTTTGTTTTATTTATTTAATTTGATTATTTTTTGTTGTTTTTATTTATTTTGTGTTTTGTTTTGTGCTTTGTGTTTTGTTTTGGTTTGTTTTGTTTCGGTTTGTGCTTTGCTTTGTTTTGTGCTTTGTTTTGCTTTGCTTTGCTTTGCTTTGCTTTGCATTGCTTTGCGTTTTTCACCGCAAGGGTAAATCAAGCACACGATTGGTGTCACATGTGAGGGGGAAAATCCAATCTGAGCCATGTTTAACTGCAGTGTGAATAAAGCCTTTAGTAGCTAGCTTTCTGTGCACATTTTGAATGGGTGTCATTGTGAGTGCAATGCATAATAAAAGTGCTTTCTGACAAGAGCAGGTCTTTATTGTATGTAAAGGATATTAATATATAAGCCATAAATATATTGCTTCTTGTCATGGTCCTGATCACTGTCCAATCAGAATGAAGCATTCAAGAGATAATAAACAGAAATATGCAATCTGATTTTATGTTTTGGCACATAAACTCTAATGGATATTTTGTCCAGTCTGTTTCTAAAAGCTAGGCTGAGATCTGCTGGACAGTTTTGGACAGCACAACACATCCAGTGTTAACATTCTCCTCTCTCTCCCCACAGCCCTTTGTGATATGCACCCAATGAGAGCCCTGTTTCTGATCCCTAGAAACCCGGCTCCCAGGCTCAAGTCCAAGAAGTGGTGAGTGCCCCTCTCTTTGTTCGCAAAGGTCACAAAGACAGACCCCCAGTCCGGAGCTTCTGCGAGACCAAACAAGATCTCCCAAGCACTCTGTCCCATCTACTTTTAATCAGAAAGTCCTGAACACTTATTCACTGTTCACTTCATCTGTCACATGTGATCTTCATTCGATATGTCAGCCCATTTGAGTACAAACGCCTTGAGAAAGGTTGCTTGTCACGCTAGACATACAGGTTTTTGTTTGTTAACAGCAACTGATATGTACATGATTCCTAAACTTGTAAACAAACTCACTCTTGCCAGACAGCTTGACAAAACAAGAAGCCAAAAATAAAGAGAGGGATGGGCCTGCAGCGTTCCCCTCAAGCTTTCCCTCATATCTGCAGGTCTAAAAAGTTCCAGTCATTCATTGAGAGCTGCATGGTGAAAAACCACAACCAGAGGCCCAGCACAGAGCAGCTCCTCAAACATCCCTTTATCCGAGAACTGCCCAACGAGAGACAGATCCGCATTCAGCTCAAGGACCACATCGACCGCACCAAGAAGAAGAGAGGCGAGAGAGGTGAGCGCGACTTTAGCACTAGATTTAGCAACTTTCAGACCCTTTTAGCGCCTTTTCCCCATAGAATATTCATACTGACAAACCTAGCGACTTTTTTGGATAAACCTTAGCTATGGTTCAGTTGGAAGATTTCGCCAGTGCTGTCCCGCGAACGCGAGGTCTGACTTTCCCGGAGAAGTGTCACCTTTCTCGGCGTCTGTTCTGTGCAGTGAGCGGCAGAGAAGCAGCGCATTCAGTTGGCCGCACCGCAGCCGACTCGTCAATAAATGAGTACAAAACAGCGTTTCCTAGCACCTGTTGCTTACTGATTGTTTGGAATTATAAATATGAGCGTAGTTCGTCTGTTAATATCACATGCACTTTTTTGTTTGTTGTTTTTTTTTAGTTTGTTACTCAGACGCAGGCAGTGCGCTGCATGAGACAAAAAAGTAATATAGCCAAAACAACCGCATAGCCGCTCTTTAGTGTAGATGCTTGTTGATTTTATCAGACGATGCCGCAAATATAAATGAGAGTGACTCCTGGTTAACATGTATTAAAAGGGGTCGTGTTTAGTCACTATTTAGTGTGGTATTTTTTGACTCATCATACTCATCATGACAGTAAAATAGGGCATTCTAAGTCAATATACTGCAGTATTTCCTCTCTCAAAATATGGTTAACACATGGTCATGCATGAAAAAAAATAATACCGTCATGTACCGTGAAACCGGTATAATTTTGAAAAATACCGTGATATAAATTTTTGGTCATACCGACCCAGCACTACCACACTTAAGTAAAAATCTGTCTTTACAACTTTTACTTGTAATGGAGTAATATTTGACCATCAGTATCTGTACTTTCACTCAAGTAATGGAATTGAGTACTTTGTCCGCCTCTGAACAAAAGTGACAGTAAAACATTTATGTTATAGAATTGCATTTTAAAAGAAATGCTGCTTATTATCTATTCATCATAATCCTGAGAAAAAAGTATCACATTCTAGTGTTTTTAGCTATGATAATAATAAGAAATTTTTCTTGAGCAGCAAATTAACATATTAGAATGATTTCTGAAGGTTCATGTGACACTGAAGACTGGAGTAATGGCTGCTGAAAATTCAGATTTGCCATCGTATCATTTTACAAAATAGAAAAGGTATTTTAAATTATAATATTTCATAGTATTACTGTTTGTTGTATTTTTTATCAAATAAATAGAGCCTTCATTCTTTCAAAAACATTAAAAAGTCTTACCGACTCAAAACTTTTGAATGCTAATGTATACAATGGCCCCAAAACATATTTTGACATTTTTTTTCCCACAAACTTTATTCACAATGAAAATATAAAACAAAATATTAAAGTATATTAAATAAAGTTTTACAGTAATTATTAACAAAAATATTTAGACACAACCAGTATTCAAATAATTTTTGTCCTAATTTTTAACAACTATCTTTTTAATAATCTTAACCATAAGTTCTTTTTGGGAAATGCTTTGCTCAAAAAACAAAAAGTGTTTGTGCTACATTTCTTTGCTGTAAGTGCCACTTGTCAGATATCCTATTAAATACGGTTTGTCCCTGAAAGGTACGATAGTACAGCTTGTGTAATTTTAAGTGTCAGAGAGAGGGTGAAAAATAGTAATTAAAAACTAAATTATATTTTTAACTTGTGCTAGAATCCTTGAACATCATAAGTGCACTTCAGGGAAAAGCTACAAAATCATAGAATATTGGCACTTTAAAGGGATCATTGGATGCCCATTTTCCACAAGTTGATATGATTCTTTAGGGTCTTAATGAAAATTCTGTAACAGTTTGGTTAAAATTTCTCAATGGTAGTGTAAAAAACACCTTTTTTTTACCCTGTCAAAAACAGCTCTTTTCAGAGCAAGCCATTTTGTATCATTTTCCTTTAAATGTTAATGAGCTCTGCTGACCCTCTCTTCCAAGCCGCTCTCTGAGGGACTGTTTACTTTAGCCGCATTCATCGTGAAACTTGCTAATTAGCATATTAGGAAAGGCGATTTGCAAAGATTCATTAAAAAACCTTAGACTCACTTCATCTGTAGGTGAACCAGTCCAGTCTGTGCTGAAACGCTACTGTCAATCAAACTATCGTGGGAGGGGGCTGTTTTTGTGACGTCACACAGACAGGCATTTGAGATCGGCTCGATTTGAGAAAGGGGTAAAGATTTTAGTAGATAAAAATTTAATTATCATTATAGGGTGGTTGTGTACACACTGCCAACACACATTTCAGTTCAAACAACTTGTAAAAGTGCATGTAGCATCCAATGACCCCTTTAAAAGCAGACAGATGCTTTAAGGGCATAGAATGTCAAGGTACCTGACAGGGATCCCATCAGGGAGGGTTTTGCATGTCTGAAATGTGACTGCTGGACATTTTCACACCTGCAGATGAGACAGAGTACGAGTACAGCGGGAGTGAAGAGGAGGAGGAGGAGCACGACATGGGAGAGCCCAGGTACATCCCGCATGAGGTGTTGGGGGTTGTAGTGGATGTGGGTATATGAGACAAACTGATTCATTCATTCATCTCTATACAGCTCCATCATTAACATACCCGGAGAGTCCACTCTGAGGCGGGATTTCCTACGGCTGCAGCTGGCCAATAAGGAACGATCAGAGGCCCTGCGCAGACAGCAGCTAGAACAGCAGCAGAACGAGGGACACAAGCACCAACTACTGGCAGAGAGACAGAAACGCATTGAGGAACAAAAAGAACAGAGGCATCGATTAGAAGAGGTACGTCATCTTGTGTGTGTTTACCGTAACCACCAAGGTTTACACCAGCAGTAGTCTCATGGCATAACTTCAGCTGCTCTGAGCTCATATGAAAATAACTTTTTGTAATATAAATCCATGAATTGAGGCTCTCTGCATTTGCTCACTTAGATCTGCTCAGTGATGTAAGAGATCTTTAGTATTTATATGGAGAACATCCAGATTAGCAGTTACACACAAACGCAGACCAGCATTCCTCTCCTACAGCGAGTGATGACTTTAACACCAGGCTCGATGTAGCTTGAGGCCAAGGGTTATTTTAAGGAACAGTGCATTGTGGGAAGCAGGAAATTCAGCATGCTAATGATAAGCTAGTTTTGTGTGAAGTCTATTCTTGGAATACGACTACTAGGGCCTGGTAATATATTATATAATCGCAGAATATTCACAGCGATTTTGCTGGTTTTATTAAACAATATTGTGACTATTACAATGATTTTAATGCACTTTTTTTGTTTGGCCATTAAGAATCTTAAATACTGTAACTAATGCTGTAAATAATTCTTAATACTAAAAATAATGGTTATAAAAAATGGGTTATTGTGTAGCGAAAACGTGTTTGACTTAGTCTGTTTGAATTGATTTATGTAAATTAATCAAACCTACAGTTTCAATGAATCAAACTTTGCACTTCATTTGTTGCTCAAATATGTTTAAGATGTTCCTTGTTGGTAATTTTTCATTTATTAAAATGTTTTAGTAACATTTATATATAAAATTAGATTGTACATTTTATCTGTGCATATAAATTAAAAGAATTAAACATACTCTGGTTATTATCGTTAACTAAAACTTATAAAACAAATTGTGTTAATTAAAATAAAGCTGAAATGAAATATAAATATTAGAAAAAAATGTAAATTAAATGAAAATTAGAAATGTTGCCTTAGCAACTGACTGAAATAAGAGTAGGATTAGGAGCACTAACATTACTAAATGGAAATAAAAACTAGAACTGAAATAGAAGTAAATTAAACCCAAATAAAAATGGTACTTAACAAAATGACTGAATTCAACGATAATAAAAATGAAAATAAAACTCCATCATACTGCCTCTACCCTTTCAGCGCAAATACATAAATATTGAGATATACTGAAATATATTTTTGTCATATCTCCCAGCTCTAACCTACTGATGTGGATAATGGAGGACGTCAGCTGGTCTGGCTGAATTGTCCATTTTACGTCCCAATAGCATCACACATTAACAAATGACACACTCTCGCTGCACATGAAACCAGAGGACGTGGAAGGAAAAATGCTTCTACAGTGTTGCTGTGTAAAGACTCAACAGGTTATTCAGCTGCATGATTGTGTGTGTGTGCGCGTCTCACAGCAACAGCGGCGTGAGCGTGAGCTCAGGAAGCAGCAGGAGAGAGAGCAGAGGCATCGCTATGAGGAGCAGCTCCGTCGAGAGGAGGAGAGGAGACAGGCCGAAAGGGAGCAGGTACACACACAGCACTGCTCCGATGACACAGCTGGAAACCAACTACACACTCAATTAATGGAAGTTAATTGTTGTGAAAGTAACCCTGTGAATGGCTCCGTAACGAAGAGGTTCTGTGGAGAGCCAGATAAGACACGGGTAATGAGCGCACAGCACTCCTGCTTTTCTCTTTATCTGCTCCAGGAAGATTGACCATCTAACATCCTTAACCGGGATGTGTGTGTGTGTGTGTGTGTGTGTGGCCACATGACCTTGAACCATTCCCCCACACATCTCATGATGTATGAAGGGACGGCTGAGTCACTGACTTGATAAATAGAAGAGAATATCTCTCTTTCATTCGTGTGGGTGAGGTTAATTACCTCGCAGAGCTGTCGGTACATTTCTAAGAATGGCTCTGTTAATGGCCGCTGTTTTCCAGAGCTCTGACCCGCGTACTCGCTCACACCGCTCGCGCTGAACAGGTTTTTCCATCATCATCATCTCACAGTTGCTCTTGAGAACACAGCGATTACACTCCCCTCTCTGCTCTCACTATCAGTATCCTCTCCCACCTATTTTGTTCTCTCAGGCACACTGTTTCAGGTGTGCTGATGTACAAACTCCCAGTGTGCTCTTTCTCTCTCTTCACACGTTTACACCCGCTCTTCGCTCATCACACTATCAGCTCTGTTCTTTCTCTTCTCTCCCACGCATTCAACAGGTCTACACCGCTTCATTAAATTGTGTACCTGATCTTTCACTTCATACTTTTTCCCTCTTTTTTTCACACCTCCTTTTCTCTGGCTAAAAATTCTTTCTTTCTTTCTTTTTCTTTCTTATCATTCTAACAATCATGTTTTCATTCTATCTAGGCAGCTATCATTTTTCTATCTAAGTCTAGCTAGCTAGCTATCCCTTTAGGAAAATTAACCATGGTTTTATTATAGTAAAAGTGTTGTAACCATGTTTTTAATGTATAACCAGTTTTACTACAAATACCATGGTTAAACTATGGTTAGTGTAGCTATTGTTTAACTATAGTAACCATGTTTTTTGTTTGTTTGTTTTTTGTTTTACTTGTAGTAAAACCATGGCTAATTTTCGTAATGGTCATTCTTCTTAACTAGCTATCAATCTGTCTAACTAGCTATTATTCTGTCTTGCTATCATTCTTACTATGGTTTTATTTAACTAGCTGTTTTTTCAGACTATGGTTCTAGCTAGCTTGCTTGCTTGCTGTTGTTCTAGCTATAGCTATAGCTGTCGTTATGGTTCTAGCTGGCTAGCTATTGTTATACCTAGCTATGTTTCAATTTAGTTAGCTATCTTTCTATCTAGCTGTCATTCTTGCTATTGTTCTATCTTATCTATCATTTTATCTAGATAGACATATTTTTCCAATCTATGGTTATAGCTAGTTAGCTATTGTTCTGTCTATCATTTTATCTCGCTAGCTAGCTGGCATTCTATCTAATTAGCTGTTGTTCTATACAGAGTTTTATCTATGGCTCTATATGTTTAGCTAGCTATTGTTGAGTCTACAGTATAAGGTTCTATCTAACTAGCTATTGTTCTCTCTCTGTTGTTCTAGTTATGATTTTGTCTATCTAGATAGCTAGCTATCATTCTAACAGCTGTCGTTCTAGCGAACTAGCTATAATTCAATCGTTCTGTCTATGGTTCTAGTTGGATAGCTATCGTTCTAACATTTTGCTGTTCTATCCATCTCACACTTATTCATCTTCTGTGGTCTTCTCCTGTCACACTTTCACTCCATATCCTGTGCAAACTGTGATAAACTCGCTCTTCTGTTTTTTCCTGTCTCTTGCGTCGCGACTGGTCTGTAGGAGTATATCCGTCGTCAGTTGGAAGAGGAACAGAGACAGCTCGAGATCCTGCAGCAACAGCTTTTGCAAGAGCAGGCGCTCCTACTGGTAATAAAGAGAAGACACTCGCCTTGCTGTACCCCTGAACCCTGTCCCTCCTCCCCCGACCCGCTTCTGCGCTGACCCATATCTATTTGTTAATCTTTTGGCCTCCTTACGTGCATGCAGAATCACAATTGTGTTATATTTTGCTTTGAAGTATTAAAATTAAGTGCCGTTTTTGTTTTATTTTAGCTTGTGCTTGTAAAATATGAGAAATAACACAATTTAGAAGAACAAGAATGTAGTTTTTGATTTGGTGACATATTGAGGAGTGAGATATAAGTTATGTTGTAAGCTGGACTTGAACCTGAATTACCCATCTGAGCAGCATGACTCCAACTGAAAGGAACACAACTGTGCTAACTACTCTGCTACTGTTTGTACAGTATATGGCAACTGTATAGAGTTAGATTTTGATGTTTTTAACATTTATGTACAATCCATCATGTATATTCATCTACACTACACATTATATCAGTGCCAGCATATAGACTGTCTAAACAATACAGACAACAAAACAAGTTATTATTTTATGTATGGTGTTCAATTAATTTATAGTTGACAGGCAAATGACAGCAGAGTCATTTTTTTATCCTTAACAAATTAAAACATTTGTTCCTGTGAAATCCCACTTGCTTTGATGCATTTTATGTGAAACTGGGAGAGATGTGGACCTTAGCAGGTCTTTCCTTTCTTTCTTTGCTCTTTTGGAGTTCTGAAGTTTAGAGCACACCAGAACGATGCAATAAAATGTGCTTTCCACTGAAGCCACTAGGGAGACAAAGGAGAAAAGAGAATGATAAAAGAGTGAAAAACTGCGCTTGAGGATTTTATGTTCCCGGTAGCTCCATTCTTGAGCTTCAAATTTACTTTTTTACAGGAGAGTGGTACTTGCGTATTTTTCCATCTGTAGCACCATCCCAGATTTCTGCCATTGAGGCAGAACTATGCCTGGCATGGATTTGTGTCCTCCCATTTGTCTTGAGCTACGTATAATTGGTCCAGCACGTGCATGTTTTGATTGTGTATGTGTGCCAGTGTATGGTCATTGTGCTTTTGTGGTACTGTGTTTAAGTCCTTGCAATTGCATGGCCCTTGTTGATGTTTTGCAAAAGTTTTTTTTTTTAACTATCATAATCTCTCTGTGTCTTAAGGAGTATAAACGTAAACAGCTGGAGGAACAGAGACAGTCAGAGAGATTGCAGAGACAGCTCCAGCAAGAGAGAGCTTACCTTGTCTCTCTCCAACAACAGCAGCAGCAGCAACCGCAACAAGACTCCAGACCCGCAGAGAAGAAGCAACTCTATCATTACAAAGATGCAGTCAACCCAAGCGATAAACCTGCCTGGGCCAAAGAGGTGGGCAAAACTGAAATTAGACTGAATTTGTCCTTTTTTCCAGCATCTCAGTGTTGCCATACTCCAGGGATGATGCGATGATGTGAAAAGCAAACCTGTTAGTTTTTTTGTCCTGACCAGTTGTGACCATGATAAGCAACAAGTACCAGGGCACACTCTCTAGCCCCACAGTGAAATCTGATTTGTCCAAAATCCTAATGCTAATAACTGTACATTTAGCACCAAATATTTTCTGATTGGCTTCACATCCTACACTGTTACACATTCTGTGCATACAGACAAATTGCTTGTCACTGAAAACACATTGCATCTGGTTAGGACACAGTGTTACACTGCAGAAATGTTTTCCAGCACATTTTTCAGGGTCACCAGCCTGGAAACTTTTACTGAAAGTCCAACAATACTTGATGCTGAGTCAGCAAAATGAAACTGGACAGATTAACTCTCTTGTTTTATCCTAGCATGTCAGCAAAATGACCATCACAGTCCATTTAGAACACTATATATAACTGAAGGAAACAGTATTTAATGTCTTTGTGAAGCAATCTGGACTCTTTCTTTTGAACTACATTCGCTACAGTGTTCTGGTTTTGTCTTTGCTTCACTAGGCCAAGCGCACAATACAAAACAGAAGGTTGTTGCAGAAATTACTAATCACAGATCTCAAAATTAGTTTTCACACAAAAGCACACATATTAAAGGTGCATTCAATAGTTTGGTGCTAATTAAAAAATATATATATACGTATATATATAAATATATTACACATTTCACATTTAAAGCAGCACTATGTAAATTTTTCTGTGTTCAGAATTTGCAAAATGTATATAATGAGCGAGTACAACATGAATTCATCTTCCAAACCGCGTTTTTGTCTTATTCCGAATCACTATGGTACACTTATAATAAGTACTTATATTTGGACTATTGTAGCCTGGTCGGGTCGTCACCGCTGTGGAGTAACACAAAATATTGTATAAATCTCATACGGATTGCACTACTGAATGTGTAATACATACTATTTGACCAATAGATAAATGGAAGTTGCTAACTGTAAATTTACCAATAAATGTGTTATGGAACTTACGGCAAAAGTTCTGCAAATTTTTGTAATGAACAACATGTGCATTTGAGATCTCGCTAACATGTGCATTAATATCAGACAGATTTCAGCCAACCAACCATCCATTCATTCATCATATTAAACCCCATTCAAAGGTGTCTGTCTGACTTTCTTCCCCATCAAGGCCCTTAAAAGAGAAGCACAGAGTTTCAACTTCCTCTCGCGCGCGTTTCGGGTTAAAGCGATTTACTCTATTTTTCAGATGGAATAAAAACTGACGAATAAATTCATCTCCCAGCGATGAAGGGCAGAGGGCTTCACACTGACAGTCTCCGTATTTGAAACTTGCAAAATCCACCTCCTCCCCTCCCAAAAACCAGCTCCCAACCAGAGAGCATTGAAATTCCCCTCGCAGCACTGCGCGGGATTTGCTAAACGGCGGGGTGTGTGTGCGCGCGGCTGATAAACGGAGTGATGATCCAGCAACACGTCTTTATCCTCGCGCGCCGCTTTAATTAACGCCGGCTTGTTTGTTGAAAAGATGATTAATATGCCAGTGAAAATGGCCTAATTGAATACCGCAACAACTCACACAATCAGGGAGGAACACGCTGTTTTGTTTTGTGTAGATTAGCCCTTTTATCAATGTCTTTATTTATATTATTATTATTATTACGTGGTATTTTAATTCGGCTGACAGCCCCCTCCCCCACACCCCTCCTGCAGGCGTAAGGAGGGACAGGCGTATGAATGAGCCACATTGTGTCCGTCTGAAGAGAGTCGAGAGGAGCACAGAAACTTTTGTCACACAGTCACAGATCTCGCGGCTCGGGACGGTTTTTAAACCGAATGCTGTCTAACAGGGAAGAAGTTTCCAGAAAGGTCACGTGTAACTTTTAAAGCAGCACTATGTAACTTTTTCTGTGTTCAAAATTTGCAAAATGTATATATTGAGCGAGTACATCATGAATTCATCTTCCAAACCGCGTTTTTGTCTTATTCCGAATCACTACAGTACACTTATAATAAGTACTTATATTTGGACTATTGTAGCCTGGTCGGGTCGTCACCGCTGTGGAGTAACACATACCTGCGTGAATCGCCATAGACATAAACTTAGAGAAGTAGCTCCGGTTGGAATGTTCTTCCACTGGATGTGTGCAGTTCTGTTTATTAACCGCTAGAGCGCCAAAAGTTACATAGTGCTGCTTTAAGAAATAAATGGTGTTTTTGTGAAGACTGACGAGTTGAGTACTGTACTCATAATAGTTGTCTTTCAAAAGAGTTTAATAATGTATGGTGCAGTTCACCCCACTCATGATTCGCTGTGTTTTACTAAATGTTGGACAGAATCCTCATATGCGTTGGCATTGTTTGGTGATGTGAAGAACAAAACTTAGACAATGTAACACCCATATCATGCTTTACCAGCAGAGAAAATGGAAGAATCAGTAACTATATGGCCAAAGAAGTGAAGGTCTGAAGACAGACAGACTGACATGGATGAAAAAACTAGCATAAATATTGGCAAGACATTCACAACATGGAAAGATTTGATGACAGAGAAAATCCTGAGTAGTAGTTCGTTTTGTATTGGACAGGCAAGTGATACTAGTAAGATTTATAGAGTAGTTTACACAATAATAAATTCAGTGTAATTTACATAAAACTCACAGACGATCATGCTGATCCATGTTGATAGATGGCAGTGCAGTGTCTACCAGTATTGTGGTATTGGTTGTTAAAGTACACAAAGAATAGCAACACTAACTCTAGCTAAAGAACTACTGAATGCACTTTTAACACTACACTCGATTCTTGTCCACAAACATGGAACTGGAATATCTTTGGCGACATGTTGGAAGTTGGTGAGACTTTCTGAGACCTCAGTGTAAAAAGCGATACGAGTTTCAGTCTTGTAGTATGCACTTGGCCCAGATGTTTTTTAACCAGCTTAACTCTGTTTAACAAAAAAACTCTTGACTCACTGTTTCAGGTCCATGGCCAGCCCTTGAAACCGATCCAAACCATCAACCACAAGCCTTCCTCATCCTCCTCATCCCCATCCCGTCAGCGCCACGTCCCCCACCGGAGCCCCTCAGACCCCACTAGAATGCTTCCCCCTATTAGAGAACAGGTCACGAAGCATTTACATCACAGGAAGCAGCAGCAGCAGCCCAGCTTCCATGTCTCAGGACAGCAAGAGAGTCGAGGAAACATTAGCCAGCAGGTGCGACAGCTTAGGGCCTTCCAAAAGGCCGGGCAGGAGGCCCGCGGACGCAAGCCCAACCCAGTGATCACTAAAGCGGTTAGTTCAGACAACCTGGCCTCAGCCTCAGATGTGAAGCTTTCACCGTGCCGTAGACTAGATGTAGATGAGTTGCTCCCACAAATCGCCATTAACCAGGAGTGTCTGTTCCTCGATGAGGACAGCTTGCTGTCTCAGTCAGCCCCAGAGCACTCGCTCCGAAAGATGATGGCCAAAGATCAGCGTTCAAACTCAGTGTCGTCCAAGAACCTCCTGATGGTGCCGAAAAGGGAGTGGGACGTGCCTCTCGCAACGTTCAATTCAGACGATTCATTTCGTGTGAATCGCTGCTCCTCTGCTCTGGACCTGTCTTCATCCGCTTCGGCGGAGTTGCTCAGGCAGAGTTTTAACCAGCCCATCTGGCGTTCCAAATCTTGTGGACGCGAGGGCTTTTATATTGTTCAGCGTAAATCCTCTAAAAATTCCAATATGGCCTCACCGCTCCGCTCTGTATTGCGCTGGATGGGGCTCTCTCCTCGGAGCACACCCAGAGCAAGCCCAGCCTCCTCAAGGTCGCCATCCCCAGGTAGCCGTTGCAGCTCCTTGGTCAGCCCCAATTCATCCCCCGTAGGCTCCCCGTTCTCCCCCACCAACATGATGACAATCAGGCCTCTCGTCAATTGAGGTGGTCTGCGATCTTTGTAAATAGATGTAAATAGCTGCTCTTATATTACAGTATGTTACTGATTTTCTCTCTTAATCCTCAAAATAAAATGTCACGTAATGGCAAATTTTTTTAGTTACTGAATGCTATTCCAAAATCTGTATATGTACATTATGCAACTGCCCATTAAGTAGTCCATCAGTACTTCACGTGTCCCCATTCCTCGTGTTCCCATCTTACTGGCTGTTACTCATCAGTGACATCATGAAAGCCCCTTTGTCATTAGTTTGCCCCTGATCCTCCTGATTCTGATGGCCCACCACCCCGACTGGATGCCCTCTGTGTTTGTGTAAGCCTTCATAATCAGTGCAGCCCATTGCTGGGTGCTTCTGGGTGCATTGCCCATTGGTGTTGGAGCCCCTCTTTTTCTCTCGCAAGGTGGCATGTGGTAAACTCCTCAAATTGTTTAAATCAAACCACTTTTGTTATGTAGTTTTGAAACTAAATGTTTAATGTAAAACAACATCCATTGAATTTTGTATGTATTGGGAAGTGTTCAGATTTCTGGAAGTACTCCTGGAAAGCTGAATCCGTTCCATGAATTTTGTTTCTCTACACCATGTCCTAACCAACCACAACAAGCGCAAAGCCACAGTAGATTGCCTAGTCAGCAAAATCTAATTAGTACACATAACAAAGTGCTGTATGAAAGACGTAATTTTTGTAGGCCAACCTGAACAACAGAAAAGCCAACAGGATTTAATAAGAAAAATAATTGAATGGAAAACAAGGTCTGTGGCTAATTCTTGCATGTTGCATGCATCAAGATAATCTTCACAAATGAACAACTTTTATGAATAGAATAAAATGTGAAAATATTTTGACCTTGTGTTGACCACAGACGTTGTTTCAGGCTTTTAACCAAAAAACCATTGACTTCTGGAACATCTCATTTCCAGGTTTTAAGACTCATTCCTGCAGCACTGTATATTAAAAAACAAATTTCCTCTTATTGGCTGTGATTGTATCATGTCCCGTAGCAGTTTCATGTTCATTGAAAACAGACAAATTTATTTTGTTGTACTGCGCTTGGATAGGGAAAAAACTAGCTTTTCAACCAATATAACCAGTTCTTTTAGACACCAATGATGGGTCATCTAGTTGCCATTTAGAATGCCCATTAAATAACCTGAATTATGACTCTAGACATATGATATCTCTGAGCAAGATGCCATCCATCTCCACACTAACCACCCATTTCTTTTCGAATTTGACAAGCTTCTTCACCAGTAGGAATCTGCATTTCTGAGACACTGAGATGGTTAACCAGTGTCTGTCTAGTTCTTTGAAAAGATCTGTTGTTGCAAACAAGAAGCCCTCAAGTTGTGAGACACTGAAAGACTACTAGTTATCTCATAAATATAGATATGGGTTTATATAAACTGCAATGATTACTTTGATGACTTTCTTAGAAATTAGAAATAAATCCTTAAATCTAGTTTCCAAGCAGTGTCTCATATATTGGCTTTTTCTATTGCCAAAGCAGATTCTTTACCCATTGAAATACTTTCTATCCTTTCACCTCTCAAAGGTCTTCAGTCTCTCTGCTTGTAGAAGGAGCTGGTCTGCTCTAACCGATTGTTGTATGAATGACCCGATCAACATGCAACGGCTAATTCAGCTTCTAGCTGAATAGATTGCTTTTCTCTTTCAGATGGTGTGATAGTTTCAACTGATTAACTTTAGTGTTTGCTGGTGCATTTCCCAAACATAGGCCTTGCTAGTTTTCGCTTGTCTGGTTGGTGGTGGCTGAGTTAAACCGTTTGGCCTGTTCTTATGTGTCTTTTTATTATTCATGAAGGTTGAGGAGCGCTCTAAACTGAACCGCCAGAGTTCTCCTGCCCTGCAGCATAAAGTGGCTAACCGTATCTCCGACCCTTCCCTTCCTCCACGCTCCGAGTCCTTTAGCAGTAGTGGAATTCAGCCGGCACGGACCCCTCCTATGCACCGCCCTGTGGAGCCTCAGGTATAACATTTAGCTTTTTGTTCAAAGCATTAATTCTTAATGCTCAGTATATCAGTACTGTATCAGTTATTTATTTATTTTTAGTAAAGTTTTTCTGTTATCTTTAGTAAATCTCTAAAAAGAATAATTTTTTTCATAATGTTGTAATGCATAAATTCACTTGCAGCATTTAAAATGATTGAATTTTATATTGGACATTTGTTGACCATAATATGAAAATAATTGTCGGCTTATACAGAATTTAATATTGTGCATCCCTAATTAAATTATTATAAAACACACTCATAAGCCAGTGTGAAACATCATTCTGTCCTTTAGGGGTGTTATTGGAGACATCTAATAAGTATAAATAAATGTTCTAATTCAAAAGTACACATGGAACACATGGAAATTCATCCAGCAAATAATAATTCCTTTGAAAATCATTTCTAAAATATCTTTATCCTGTATTCACCAATGACTGGAAAGGTCATGAAAATTAATTGGTGAATGTGTCAGAATTTTGATCTAAGCACTTAATGGTTTCTTCCTCTTCTTAGATGCCTCATTTGGTTCCAGTGAGATCCCATAGCTCCTCTCTGTCAGTCTCTCAGTCTTTGCATGATCAATCTGCCAAGGGCGTTTCAGCCTTCCAGGAGAGCCTGGTGTCCCATCGGCCAGAGATGCCACGGCAGAACTCCGACCCGACTTCAGAGATGCCCCCTCCGGCCCCTCGCATGGCCAGCCGTGAGGAAAAGCCTGAACGCAGTTCCCCCTGGCTAATGGAAGAAGACGTTCCTCCCAAGGTCAGAATTATACAGTAATGAACTTTAACGATGAGCTTTACTTTTTCCTATTTTCAAGGCTTCACACCTGAGGAGATATGTTTTGATAATGTTTTTGACAAATACTTTACATTTCAAAAGTTTGGGGTCGGTATGATTTACAGGTGATTTACATTACAGTCATAACAGTAATGTTGTAAATATTATTGCTATTTTAAATATCTTGTTTTCTATTATTTTAAAAATGTAATTTATTCCTCTGAAGAAGTGTGTCCTTTCTGAACAAAAGTATTACTTTTTCAAAAAATCTTACTGACCTCAAAATTCTGAATCGTAGTTTTAATGTTTAAATTACAAGACTTTGTAGTAAATAAATGATTAAAAGGCTATTAATAAAATATGCAGGCTGTCTTTGTTATTCAAGATAACTGATGGTTGTGATCATGCTATGATCCCTCGTCTCTGACATTTGGTCATTTGTGTGTTTGATTAAAGTTGTGCAGTACTACCCAGGTGCCTCAGCGGACCACATCTATCTCTCCTGCTGTGGTGAGGAAGAACTCTCCTGGGAACGGAGAGTCCGGTGGAGGGGGGCGAGCGGCCTCCCAGCTCATCCGCACCAGGTCAGCTCAACTCAGCTCTCAGTCAGATCACATGCTGGAGGCGTTGCTCTATGTTGGTATATTGAAGCACTGACTGTATCTTGAACTCTCCAGTAATCCAGACCTGAGGAGGGCAGAGTTGTCCCTGGATGTGGCTCTGCAGAGAACCAGCAGTAACAGCTCATCCAGCTCCAGCACACCCAGCTCTCAGGGCGGCTCGCTGGCTGGATCCAGTGAGAGGAACCAGCCGAAAGGTGAGAATGCGGTATCTTGAGTTATCTTGAGTTTCTGTAATGAGGACAAAACAATCCTAGAATACAATTCTAGATAAAAGAATTCTAGAAATCTTTTAAATGAACATCTCACACAACTTTGATACCATAATGTTTTTACGGGGACAATCCCTTTGGAGTAAGTTACATGGTGATTAATTCATGTTTTGAAGTATCGAACCCGAAACCTTCTGGAAAGCAATCTTGAGGTTTAACCACTGCACAACACCATCCAAAAGAAAGGCGTTTTCTAGCTTTTATTTACAGGACAGTAGAGGCAGACAGGTAATTGGGGGATAGAAAGGATCAGGACTTGATCCAGGCCTGATTTAAACGGGTCCCCATGAGCAAACCTTTTGTTACAAGCCAGTGTGGGTGTTCATGTTGTGTTGTGAGTGACTGGTGCAGACGTGGCCCTCCCAGAATGCCTCAGTCTGAAAGTCTCCAAGGGACTGAAGGAGCTGGCACTCGTTCAGACTTCATTCTGGTTGTTTTTGCTGGGCAGTTCCACTCTGTTCACCGTGTCAGACGTGCAGTACTGCGCTCGTCCTCCAGAGAGTGAAGTGGATGTATAGTATGACATGGTGGATACATTGTTTGCCTGTTTGAATTTTTAGTCCAATCTAGAAGGTGTATTTCTAGGTGCTGTAAAGATAGGTAGAGTCCACCTTTTGTATATTTTTGTTTACAATAATGGCAGCAATCTCAGAGTTTTCATTCTGTTTGAGAACAAGTTGTCTTTTACATCTCCTCACCAATAATCAGAATAAGGGTCGATCGGTACGGGTTTTTCTGAAACTTTTACATTTGATGTCCTTTAATCTCAAACATGTGGTTACAACCTGTTATGTTGTTTTCCAGGCTCTGGTAAATCAGAAGGATCTCCAGTGGCATTACAGGAGACTTCCAAACCCATTCAGGAGGAAAGCAGAGAGTTGAACAAACCTGGTCGACCTGCGGTAAGATGCATCCCAATAGCCCTTAAATATGATCTAGCCATTCTTAATTTTTTTGTCTCGATATGTACAGTACACTACTATTTGAACCTACTTTGTCACTTCATTTTTATCTAGCATTTGCTTGAAGGTGCTTTTAGTTCTCTTTGGATGTAGATTTGACCTTCAGACACCGTTCTAGACTAAACAACCTTCAGACGCAGATGCTGTTTTACAGTTGGAGGCCAAATGTCCCACTGGTTGCATTGTTCAGACTGTCCTCTCTGCCAGTTTTCCACTTGTGAACACTCAGAGCTTTTAGAAAAGTGATACACTGAAATGAAAATTCTTGGCTGAAACTTTGAGCTCACTTGGCCAAAACTGATATTTAAAATTAGACTTTATTTGGAATAACTATCAATTTGATTAATATGAATTATATTAGCGTAATTTTAGATAAACTAAAATTACACCTACAACTACTTAAATTTTATGTAAAATATATCTGCATAAATGCAATGGAAGTCAATTTCTATAAAAGCACCTGCCAGATGCATAAAAGATATGCAATTTATTAGCTTATGCATTGCCAGGGAATCACGCCCATGACATTGGCATTGCCAGCGCCATGCTTTCCTACATTCCTACAAAACCAAACCTTATCTTTTTTGTTTATTTTACTGCATTTGTTTTTTATGGCAGGTTTATTTCTCTGAGCTATTTTGGCTTGGACAACCCAAGTCCTTACTTGAGGAAACTTCTCTTGCGGCGTGATGAATGTTTGAACAAAGGGCTAGAGCTGTCTACATAATTAGCTGACCTACAATCTGTATTAACCAGTTCCAAAGCTCTTTCTGCACGTCTCTCCTGTGTTTTCTCTCTCTCGCTGTTCTTTATCTGTCTTGTCACCTGGACCTCAATCAGGGCTGGAAAGCCAGAGTAAGGGTTTGTTACATTCCCATCCATCTTTCTCTCAGTCCCTCTCAATCTCTAAAGGTTGCTTGGCAGAGGACTGTGGGAATTCTTGCCTGCTAATCTCAATAGCAACGCTGACTTGAGAAAAGCTTGTCCTCTTTCACCCTCTCAACTTTCTCACCAAGCTGGATTGCCAGTGGCTTTGTCAATGGACTCTATGTGTGGGTGTGTGTTATTCTCCCTACTTGGCTCGGATTCTCTCGCCCCAGCGCAAATAACCCTAGCTGTTTGTTTAGGACCCTTACTGTTTCTATAGCAACTAAAGTTCAGGAGGGGGCATTTTTATGTTGGGCCTAAAGCTGGGATTACAGGTCGAATGCAAACTGATTACAGATGACTTTTGCATGAGACCTCCAAAGTACTCAGCAAACCAAAGTATCTGTATCTGAATATGAATAGAAAAAGTATCTGAATATGTGAGAATTTTACGACTGAATCTTCTTTTACTTGAGCAAACCTCTAATAAAGCTTGAGCACCTGCTGTGTTTACTTTACATTTTAATGACTTTAATCACCAGTGTTGGGGCAGATACTTTAAATTTGGAGCTTTATAGCACAGTTATAAATCCTTTAAACCTCAGTAAAGCTATAGGAATTATGTGGATTTACTCAGATGAATCAGTGAAACATTTTGGAACCGGTTCATTTTCTTGTACCATCAAATGGACTGATTCAGATCCGATTGGGAAAGGTCCGCTAGCCGGGACTTGAACTCGGGACCCCCGAAGTGCCATGAGGCTATTGGTGCTGACTAGTGTTACATTCTTATAATCCAATTCATTTTAGCGAATCCTGATGGTTCGAGGAAAAATAACAGTAATGTAACATTGAACTATTGTCACTAGCAGCAACTGAGCTACTGAAGATAGCAGTGTTACTAGTTATATGATTATCTCTCTCTTTCTTTCAGGATCTGACTGCCCTGGCTAAAGAACTGAGGGAGTTGCGAATAGATGAGATCAACCGGCCGCCCCTTAAACTGACCGACTACTCCTCCTCCAGTGAGGACTCTGAGAGCAGCGAGGATGAGGATGGTACTGTGGGGCATGATGGCACGGTGTCAGTCAGTGACATCCCCAGGATCATGTAAGCGTAAACCTTTAGTTCTCTCTTGTTCCTCAAAATAACTTTTATGTCAGAGCTGTGCCTTAGCAATCAGGGCACATACTCTTACAGGTTGAGTCAGGGTGCTTATGGGGGCAGTTCATGTTCAAGTCTGGCTTGCAACTGTTTTAATCCCCTTCTCCACCCTTTATCCTACTAATAAAATGAACACAGAAATAAGATTCTGTTTTAATGTGATTCTGTAGAATTTAAGCCTAAGTTTCCTGTATTTGTCTCCCCTCAGGCCCTCTGTTCAGGGAAATAATGAGTCTTTCACAAGCAGCCGTGATGAGTCCTTCGGTGAATCCTACAACGATGAGTCTAAGGATGGCACCCTAAGAATGAGAGCGGTGAGACGGCAATGCCAGCCACATTAGATATTATTTAGCTCCAAAAAAGACTTATTATCTCTGACTTCTGAAATATTTCACACATTTTTGACTTACGTTTGATGTTCTCTATAGGCCAATGAGAGGCAACGCTTGGGCCACGGCGAGAGCAATGGTTTCGCAGGCCACGGAAACCTACCAGACCTGGTGCAGCAAAGCCACTCCCCATCAGGAACTCCAACAGGCCTCAATTCCCAGGACTTGGACTCTATGGATGAGGTAGATAACATTTAAGAGGGATACATATCTGATATTTAGCCAGGCAAAGCAATTTGAAATATCCCAATCTTGTCCTACCCTCCTCTCCCTTTAATTTGCTCTCCTCTCTTCACTATAACTAGAATTAAAATGAGACTAAAGAGTCTGAAAATGTGAGGAAAGCACTTTGCTATCCTAATGACTCTTAATATTTTCATAACTCTGTCACAGACATTATTTACTGACTCACAAGTGAAAGTCCAAAATTTTTTCTGAACCATCTATTATCTAAACAGCAGGAACTGTGCTTCTGTTGTATTTTTAGCCCCAACTCCAGACTGCTTTTCTCTGAATGCCTGCTATTAAATCATTTTACTGGAGCTGATATGGTTCATTTGTTATTTTTGTAGTTTGGTCATGGAGGTGGTTTGAAAGCTTCTTTCACTCCTTTTGTGGACCCACGTGTGTATCAGACCTCCCCCACAGATGACAACGATGAGAGCTCAGCGGCCGGTAAATATACAAATCACAAACAAACACATCTCGTTATCACAGCCTGCAACACTAAAAGGAAGAACATTTATGGAAAGCAATTTAGATATGTCATTTTGGATAAAATGGGTTTTAGAATAGGTTTATTCTAGGCACTGAATGATTCCTGCCAGGTTTGGTTCTTGTCCAAACATCCCTTTATGAATGAAATGTTTCCTCTTTCGTATCATTTATTGTGTTTTCTTGTCTTCTCATCTCTGCAGCTTTGTTTGCTAATGAGCTGTTGCGTCAGGAACAGGCCAAACTGAACGAGGCTCGCAAGATCTCTGTGGTCAATGTCAACCCCACCAACATCAGACCTAACAGCGACACACCAGAGATCCGCAAGTACAAGAAGCGCTTCAACTCAGAGATCCTGTGTGCTGCTCTATGGGGTAAATCACCCTCTCTCTGATATCTGCTTTGTTTGTTTTTAATTCCTCTTCTCATACATTCTTGAGTCAGAATCCAGTTCTGACAAGGCTGGTGTTTCGTGTTCAGGTGTGAACCTCTTGGTGGGCACTGAGAACGGTCTAATGCTGCTGGACCGCAGCGGTCAGGGCAAGGTGTATAACCTCATCACTCGCCGGCGCTTCCAACAGATGGAGGTGCTAGAGGGTCTAAATGTCCTGGTCACCATATCAGGTTTGTCCCACTACAAAAGAGCTACACAAGGGCATCAAAGTTGACATTTGCAGTGAGATGAAACTTAAGTCCACATTTTTAAGTATACACTAAAAAAAGTGTTGAACCAAAGCCTGGTGGCAGCTCTTTGTGTCTTTTGGGGATACATGTCGTCTTTTATTAACATGTCAGCCTTGTTTACAGGGAAGAAAAACAAGCTACGTGTCTACTACTTGTCATGGCTGAGAAACAGGATACTGCACAACGATCCGGAGGTAGAGAAGAAACAGGGCTGGATCACTGTTGGGGATCTGGAAGGCTGTATTCACTATAAAGTTGGTAAGTCATCCATCTCTGCTAGAGTTGTCACAAAAGTATTGATATCAATGCCACTGAAATTTCACAGTACTCAATATCAAGTTGGATACTAACATCTTGTACAGTGGCAACTAATATCCAAATACAACTCTTGTATTTAAGTATAAATCACATTAACGCTGTGGCATAAAGTAAGTATTCAAAATGTTAAATCTAGTAATAAAGAATAGAGGTTAATAGAGTTTGAGTCAATGAGTTTTCTCTCTTAGTTATCAGTATTGTTTTTTCCTAAATATCAGTGACTTCATATTATCATCAACAAAATTAAAATAACATCAAATGTTACTTTATTGTATTATTTATATTTTATTAACAACATTAAGAATATAATAAATAGTAGCAGCCTTATGGAATACATTTCTTTGTATTATTTATATTCAATTTTATTAGCAAGATTACATATTAATATAAATATTAGCAGCATATACAGTATATTAGCTGCTTTTTCTGAGCGTGCAGAATGAAGCAAAGTCCAAGATATTGGGGTTGAAAGATGAAGGCTTTCCTGTTAGACAAAGGCTGTTAAGATGGAGGCGGTTGAGTAGGCTAATCGAGATCTCTGAGGCTAATCGAGAGGATTGGCATTCAGCTCTCCTCTAACAGCATGGAGCGTGGCAGCGGGAGACGGTCTGCTTCCTTGTATGAATAAGACAAACTGCCACTGTGAGCTGCAGGTAACTGAAAGCATGATTTACTTTGTTTTCAGTGAAATACGAGAGAATCAAATTCCTGGTGATCGCACTGAAGAGCTCTGTGGAGATTTATGCATGGGCCCCCAAGCCGTACCATAAATTCATGGCTTTCAAGGTATGATGGTGTAACAATATTTCCTCATCTTTCAAATGCTCTCTGTATTTCTTTCTTGCTATTTAACTAACATGTAATATAATTTGTCAATGAAAGAAAATGCCTTAAAGGTTTGCATGCATTAACTGCCTGTTTAACCAGTTCCCTAGACTCAGCATCCATTTCTGTATCTGTATCTTTTTGTTTCTGGAAGTCGTTCACAGAGCTGCAGCACAGGCCTCAGCTGGTGGACCTGACTGTAGAAGAGGGTCAGAGGTTAAAGGTCATCTATGGCTCTAGTGTGGGCTTTCACGTCATAGATGTGGATTCTGGAAACCCTTATGACATCTACATACCATCACATGTAAGTGATGCATTTTTAAATGAACCTCATAGAAATGCTGGATCCATTTTTGTTGCTAATAAATTTGCAATACAAATCCTCTATAACCAATGCAGTGCAGCAGTTTTAATCTGTGGTACTAGGCTGTGGTTTGGTGTCTGTAAAAACACAATTTAGTTGTGCTTCTAGGTAAGGGAGCCGTTCATGAGCAACATCCTCTTGATTGGTTGAGGGGTTCCCTTGGCAGTGTTGCTCTTGGGGGTTGTAGTCTAATCTTAGTGAAAAAACATGTGCCTCCACACGTTATGTTCCCTTCACGGCACTTGAAAGTGTGAAAAGTGTAAGGATGATTTCAGGTGCTTTGAGGAAGGCAGAAGCTCAATTTCTGTTCCTATACTACACATACTCTGTTCAGATATTATCTGTGTGTATATATATATATATATATATATATATATATATATATATATACACACACACTCAAGTCGATATTCTGATATTTTTTTCCAAGCACATTTTACAAACTCCATACCACATCAGTCTTAATAACTACTGTAAAGTTTGTATAAGTGATATATAATTGTTAACAAGGGCTGTAAGTGCAAAGCCACCTTACAGTATATTCAGTTTTACAGTTAAAATGGGCAAAAAAAAAAGATTTAACACACTGAAGTCACAAATATATTAAATGCCCATGAGAAGGATGCAATACTATAGAAATTCCAAAATTACGGTGTGACAATTGGACAAGAAATGCTCATTGAAAATAAAACATTAAGAAGAAAAGATATTAACTGATAAAGACGTTAAGAATTAAGGTGAAGAAGGTGTTCAACCAAGAATTAAATCAGAAACCCTTCGGTCTCAAGTGCCACCATTTTCCAAATCTGCAACCTACTTGGAGTCTCAGATAGATAGATAGATGGATAGATGCCAAAATGCAATTATTAGTGCATTTAATAAGCTTTTTGTATGAAATACAAGTCACACTTTATTTTAAGGTCCAATTCTCACTATTAACAAACCATTAACTACGACTTTTGCCTCTAAAGACTCCTAATTTGCTGCTTATTAATAGTTAGTAAGGTAGTTGTTAAGTTTAGGTATTGGGTAGGATTAGGGACGTAGAATGTCGTCATGCAGAATATGTGCTTTATAAGCACTAATAAACAGCCAATATGTTAATAATAGGGATGCTAATAAGCAACTAGTTAACAGTGAGAATTGGTGCCTATGCTAAAGTGTTACCAAAATAGAAATACTATAATTCCATAGATTCCCTTTTGTAAACAATGATTCTTTGAATGAATAAATGTAAATGGAATATGTGGTCATCTAATGGTCTCCTTAAGCACCCCTTCTTCTTTCTGTTAGATCCAGAGCAGTGTGACTCCTCATGCCATCGTGGTGCTTCCCAAGACTGATGGCATGGAGATGCTGCTGTGTTATGAAGATGAGGGCGTTTATGTCAACACCTACGGCAGAATCACCAAGGACGTGGTCTTGCAGTGGGGAGAGATGCCCACCTCTGTTGGTGAGTCTGTGTTTCAATACCCTTCCCAGCTATGCAAGAGGAAACATACTGACCAGAGAATGACTTCTCTTCTAGTTATCAAATATTTATCTTTAGTGGATGCTTACAAAAACAGCATATTTTGCTGTATTGACTAATATTAGCCTGATTCCACAGTGGCACTGATTTCCGATTGGCCTCTACCGCAGTGTCTGTTTGTGTTAGCTGCCAGCACATGGGTAGAGCTTGAGGGATGCGAGGCCAGCAGAAGTGCATGAAAACAACAAAGGGCTGCCACACATTCTCTGCTTTGTGGGAGGAGAAAAAAGTAGTTCACCCAGAGTTCAAAAGCATTCGAACTTGGCTTCAACTTCTGTGTTTTGAGAAGTATGAATGTGGTTGTGTGTGTGTGTGTGTGAGCTGGTCTGAGTAACAAATTAGCTGGAGGATTTAGGGCTTTTGGCATGCTTTATCATATATAATAATCTCAATGGGGGAGTGTTTGTGCAGAGCTCCTTGCGTTTGGCAGGCTGTTATGATTATTAGTAGTGATTGCGTACAGAATTATTCATTTTTTGGGGCGATTTTTATGCAATGCTTGCTAATCTTCCGCCTGGCTTATGAAAAGACGTCAAAAGGAAGGCATTCAGAGATCATACAAAAAGATGCATCTACCCATTCAAAACAAGACACAATCAAGTTGTGTAAGCAAATAAATATGCCATACTAGATTTGACTCATGGGCAGTTATGATGGTTATGTCATGTACTCACCCCTCATGTTGTGCCAAACTTGTTTGCTTCCTTTCCACACCAAAGGAAATGTTTATTCAAGTCAATTTTATTATTCTTTTCATTAGTGTTTATTTTTTTACAATATACATTTGTTTCCAAGTAGCTTTACAGAAAATTATGATGTTAATGTTTATAACAGTTTAATGTCGTCATCCCTTATAGTCACATTTAGCAAATTGGAGCTAATAATAGAGTTTACATTTTGTTAAAATGTAAATCAAGAAGTTGAGATTTGCTATATAGTAAATATCACTTTATGTGAGTGTACTGTATGTATGCGAATAAAGTTGGATATGCTTATGTATCTGACTTTCTATATAGAGCTGAGCGATAATATTTAACAGAATGTCTGTATATGTCATTTAATAAGGCTTGTTTGCTGCATCCCAATTCTTCTGATGAGGAACAGACTGAGGTTTAATGGGGATAGTTCACCCAAAAATTTCATCTGTCATTAATTACTCACCCTCATGTCATTCCAAACCCGTAAGACATTCGTTCATCTACGGAACATAAATTAAGATATTTTTGATGAAATCTGAGAGCTTTCTGACCCTGCATAGACAGCAATAGAACTACCACATTCAAGGCCCAGAAAGGTAGGAAGGACATCGTTAAAATAGTCCATGTGACATCAGTGGTTCAACCTTAAAGTGCCCCTATTATGGGTAAAGAAAGGTTCATATTTTGGTTTTGGGAGTCTCCAACAACAGGTTGACATGCATGCAAGTTCAAAAAACACTTTCATTGTCTTATAATATGCATTTATTTTTACCTTACTTGCTCAACGACTCCCAAATGATTCGCTCAACGATTCATTTTTCCAAACCCCTCCTTTGCTTGACGCTAACCTGCGTGATTGGTCTCATTTGCATTTCATCATGCCTGTAATTGTTGACATCAACATGAAATGGCTTGGGATTCATTTTAAAAACGACTCGCTTCAATGATTCAGAGTCGACTCTTTCTTTTGAGAGACAATAACTTTATACACGTGCACTTTCAGATTTAAAACTTTGCAGGATGTTTTCATTCACTTAGAGCTGTGTTACACACTGCATGAAAGGTAATTTTTTCAAAAATCCATAATAGGGGCACATTAATTTTATGAAGCTACAAGAATACTTTTTGTGCGCACTTTGTGTCCTTATTACCTTTTTGGGCCTTGAACGTGTTGCGTTGCTGTCTATGCCGGGTCAGAAAGCTCTCGGAATTCATCAAAAAATATCTTAAAGGGGTCATATGATGTTGCTAAAAAGAATTATGTCTGCATTTGTGATCGGAGAAATGACAAACAACAAGTGCTACTCTACACTGCTCAAACGTACTTACGTACTTACAGTCTGTGAGTCAGAACAGCCGGCATTGTAGTCTACTCTCCCAGGATCAGGAAACAGTCCTCCATAAAATGTGCTGCACACATCTGAATATTTGGGTTGAAGTGTTCTGGAACAGTGTTGTAAATACAACTTAACCACTGATTTCTAGTCGTGTCCATTTTTGGAAGACCAAACAAAGTAGTTTCGCTTTCACAACGAAACACACAGTGCCTTCACGACATGGCGGCGGCGGCAACAACAATACTACAGCGAGAATAAAAGTTACGCCGCCTTTCTTTGCTTGAGCATTTGGGCGGCGTTATGCAAATCTTCCCACATAGCAAAGTAGATATGTGGGGGCGTGTTAGAACGAGGCGTTTTAGGTAGGCGTGGCTGACTCTTAACTTTTATAAAGAATATCTCTTTGGATTTGAGACTTTAGTCTTTGCAACTTTACAGATCTTCTTTATGCACCAAGAGCTTGTAACACTCCGAAGAGAAAGGAAAAATTGAAATCGCATCATATGACCCCTTTAATTTGTTTTCCGAAGATAAACTAAGGTCTTACGGGTTTGGAACGACATGAGGGTGAGTAATTAATGACAGAATTTTTATTTTTGGGTGAACTATCCCTTTAAGATTTCAGTAAATATACCACTGTCATTATATGGAGAAAAAAAGTGACTTTGACATTCTGCATAAATAACTACTTGTGTCTTTTTAAGTTTTAATTTATTATTAATCTATTTCTTAATTTTTTTTTGTCCACAAGAAATGAGCGAAATATCACAGATATTACCTTGGCCAACAGGGATTTTTAGAAGTGGAGTGTCATTTTCAAAAGTGAAATGAAAGTTGTTCACATTTTTTTGAGAGAACTATGATACTGTGCTTTGTTTTTGGTATAAAGATGGTCTATGCATGAGAACTCAACAAGATGTTCTGTTTTGCAGCTTATATCCACTCCAACCAGATCATGGGCTGGGGAGAGAAAGCCATTGAGATCCGCTCTGTTGAAACGGGCCACCTGGACGGTGTTTTCATGCACAAGCGAGCTCAGAGACTTAAATTCCTCTGTGAGAGGAATGACAAGGTTAGACTTATAATGTTGTAGATCATCCCCACCAATGTCATTGTTAATCTAAATTAGCTTAGACCATTTTGGACAAGTTTACATTTTTCTCTTCTCTTTTTTTTTTTTTTTATTTTAATTTTTTTACCCAGTCATTTAAAAATAACACATTTTAGAGCTGTAACGACAATACTGTGATACCGTGAAACCGTGATATTTTTGCTTAAGGTTATCATACCGTCAAAATCTCATACCGGCCTATGCCTAGTTGTAGATCATCACCAATGTTACTGTTCATCTAAAACAGCTTGGACCATTTTGGACGAGCTTAATTTTTTCTCCTCTTCTTTTTTTTTTCCTGCAGGTGTTCTTCGCCTCGGTCCGATCAGGCGGTAGCAGTCAAGTGTTCTTCATGACGCTGAACAGGAACTCTTTGATGAACTGGTGAAGCTCCTGCAGACCCAACACCGTGGAGCCTTTTTCCTGTCCGAATTGCATCTGTGAGCGCACGGTACATTGACACTTTGGTCTGAAAAAGATTTTAAAATATTAGACTCTTGAGGAGTGAGCTTGGAGACATGGGTCTGTCCCGTAGGAAGCGAGCGCTTGTTCTCTACACACGGCTAATGGAGGCGCAGTATCTGACGTCACCTGCAGTGGCATGCAGTTCCCAGAAGAGCGGGCTGATTAACTTGAACTTGGTTTTAGACCTTATTTGTGGCCTCTGGTAAAGCCTGTTCTTTTAGGGTCCTCCCCTTTACGTTCCCGTCCCTGGTTTCCCATTGGTTTTGATTGACTTTTCCAATGCATTTTAGTCAGTTGCATGATTGTAAAGATTTGGACAATATTTAAAAGAGAACAAATGTGGGGATAACATTAGCAAGCACTCAGGCTAAGACCAAGCTTCAGTCTCTTGATGTTTCACTTTAAAATATTGGCGAACACTTCTGCCAGTTTCACAAATATCTGTGATGCCCGTTTTTGTCCGATTTCTCAAAAGAGAATGAAATGCTCAGAATAAACGAATAACACTGGTGCTCATTCGTATATTGTCAACAAGATCCATATACTGTACATTTATCCAAAGTACTGTTTTATAGCTTTGAGGTTGGAAATACGGAGCCGAACGGATCATGAACGCATCTTTAAGTTGCATACCATGCTTTGAATTCCTTCTCTGGTCCTTTTTTGGAATGTTTGGAACATGAAGGAACAAAAGCATGAAAGTTAACTGAATGAAATCTAGTCATACGAGACTAGATGGAAGAAAACGGTCCTCCTCACTGGTTGCATGTTTGTGTGGACACTGGATCAGATGTTGTGTGATGTGTGTGTCAAAGCAACATGATATCTGAGATCATCAAAAAATTTTAAATAGAAAGAAAAAGGATAAAAGCACCTGTATTTCAGTGACAATTGAGAATTGATGATGACTTTATTTAGATTACATTATAGTGCCTAGCACAAATTAACCTGTGTGAAATCAATCTTTAGAGGCACTTTGATTTTCTATTTTTGCATCTTGTGTTCTTACTCCATAACTGTTGTTTCAGCCATCATTTGTAGGCTGGAAGTCTCGCTTCTCAACATTTCGAAGGATTCAGCATTGTTATATTAAGCTGTAGCTTCTTACTTTTATTTTGTCACAATGTTTAATCAGTCAAATGGCGCTCAAAACATTCCAAAAAGGGAAAAGGGTCTTCATCTGACAATTATGTGGTACTCAAAATTCAGTCTCTTGGACAAAAATATCACAAATGTTGAAACTTTTTGGTACAGAACTACTACAGTAGGTCAACAGATATTAACCATAATGTATTGTTTTTGTATTGCTCATTAGATCTTTTTTTTCAGTTTATTCTGTTTTGTTTTATATGTTTGCCTGGGTCTTCAGTTCAATGCTTTAGATGTTCTCAAAGTCACTTGATGTTTGCACACTATATAGATATTTATATTTCTTTCACATCTCTTACATAGCAAAAGAAGATATTTTAATGGTGAGGGAATGAGAGGTTTTTAGCAATAATGTCCTGCTGATTTATGTATGTATGTATGCTGTGTGAAACACTGTGTTCGGCCAGTGCTGGGGAAGAACCTCACTGAGCTCTTTTAATTAACTACTTTATTTGACACTCAAGAATGGTTACTTAATGTTTCGGTCTTAATACGTTTTTAATGATCATCGAAGCTGTAAACAAGATTTTCATTTCTTTTACAGTGATAGAAGCACTAGTATGTCGTCCTCCTTATTTTTTTTTTATTTTTTTATGATAAGAAAAAATAAACAAATAAGTACCTTTTCTGGCTTGTGTTAGTGTCCCTCACTCTAGTGAATCTTTTCCAGAGCTCATGAAAGCACCAGTGTCTCTGAGCGCTGAGAACTTTGCTCTGATAGGTGTAATACATTAACTCTTCTTGCTCAAGCACGTAACGTCTTATCCAGCCGCTTTATGGCAATCAAAAAAAGCAATGCTGACACCTGACATTTATTTGGCATCATAAACATGTATTATTATACCTTAAAATGATATAAAAAGTCATGTCAATCATTTTGACCACACGAAAAAGTGAAACAATAGTCTGGTATTCAGTGGGAAGAAGCAGCACATAAACAGCGGTGATACATGGACATCATTAGTGGATCAGGGCAGAAGGTCTCCAGCACAGCACACGTGTGCATCATGATCCTGCAGTGACAGGATTGATCATTTACTGAGTATTGGGAAAGCAGCCGAGAACCTTGGAGCCACTATTAACGACCAAGAGCGGCTTTTGCTGACACTTCATGCAAAATGGAGAAGGTAAATTCATTTAATCCTCCTTTATGAATTCATATGGATAATGAAAATGCCATTTGATTTGCATCTAAATGATAAGTAACAGGTTGATAATGCTGAATGGTGTGAAATAGTCTTATTGATACGACTGTCTCTTAGCTTTGCATGTTGAATCTAAATGTTTTGGGGTTTTTTTTTTTAGCAGAGATGATATGACAGGCAGAATAGTGAATGCAGGTGTTATTCATGCTGTGATTATGAGTTTACTATTAGTGTTACAGTGATTTGAAAAAATAAACATCCATTTAATTGACACATGATTAACCAAAATGACCAGAATGCAGATACTTTTATTATGTGTATGAAAAACTATTTTAATAGCATTAAGAAATGCAACAGTTAAAGGTGTCTAAAAGGAGCTGTCCATTCTGTTTGTTTACATAACCGCATATTTACGCAAGTACTTAGTTAAACTATGCATATGTGTATGTAATTGTGCATTGTTATTGTTGTTACTATAGTAGATAATTCTAGTAACGTAATATGTGTTATGCACACTCCTAAATTAGTATTACTGGAGATTTTCCGACCATCAAGAGCTTTAGTTTGGTTTACTGAGGTATTGCTCATGTACTGGACTGCACAAAATACATTTAATTCTATTTCAGATATTTTATAACGTTCATTTTGTAGTTACATCATTTCAATTAAAGAGAGTTAATCCAGCTATATCTAATCATGTTCACTGTTCTTGAATCAAATGTTTGTTCAAACAGAGAATACATGTTTTGTTATTCATTTAACAAAAATATTGTTTCATTTAAAGAGCATATTTGAATTAAAATGTATACTTTATTTTTTGAGTTCACAAACGTTTTTTCAGTGCAAGACCTTTTTATAAAAAAAGTTCTGACCTTAACTATAAATGATATAATTAAAAGGAAAACATGTAACTGAGTGTTGTGAGTTTTGCAGATTGTCTTGTTTGTATTGTTCATTTCTATTGGCACATTCCGAATTGATCAAGAGGAAATGCTACTGATACTGTAAATGAACTTTTATGTTGCAGGTTTTATTAAGGTAAATTTAAGACTTTTTAATTGGTTTTTAGTACCAAGTCAAGAAAATTTAAGGAATAAACTAAATGGAAGAAAATGTCAATATGTTCTCTAAATGAAAATATCTGCTTACTAAAGTTTAAAAATTTCCAACGTATCAGGTTTTTTTTTCTTTCATTCAAAATGTGTAAATATTTGGCCACACTTTATTTTAAGGTCAATTTCTTGCTATTAACAAACCATTAACTATGACTTCTGCCTCAATAAACTCCTAATTTGCTGCTTATTAATGGTAAGGTAGTTGTTAAGTTTAGGTATTGGGTAGGAGTAGGGATGCAGAATATTTCTATTCTTTATAAGTACTAACAAACAGCCAATATGCAATAATAGGCAAGCCAATAAGCAACTAGTTAATAGTGAGAATTGGTCCCTATACTAAAGTGTTACCAAATATTCTTAAATCAAGATGCATTTTAAGTGCAAAATTAAGTGAATCTATGCTTAAAACAAGAACAAATATCTGCCGAAGGGGTTTAGAAAAATCAACTTAATTCAAATGGAAAACAGGTTTTTATATTGCATTGACAGATGTTTGTTCTTAAGCATAACTCGCTTAATTTTGTTCAATTTCAAAAACAAAAACAAGACTTCATACATTCAGTTTGCATTTAAATTTATCTTGATTTAAGGATGTTTTAGATACTTATATTGGAAACCAAAAGAGAGCTTGAAACATTTAATGACATGATTTTACGACTTTATGCACAGATTTAAGACCTTTTTTTTTGTGGAAGGTCAAAATGAAGACCTTTTTAAGAGCCGTCGTGTTTTCCTGTCTCACAGCAGTTAACAGGCACACTCGCTCTGGCAGTGTTCACAGCTGCGCTTGGCTCTCTGCAGATGGGATACAGCCTGGGCGTCATCAACGCCCCACAGAAGGTCAGTCATCACACCATCATTACAGCCTTCACTCTCCTAGCTGCATTCAGAGCCAGCGTGATATGGAGTTATCTCTTTGAGATTATATCTTCAAGAGAAAGGACTATTGTTCATTATCATTATTGGGAAGGAATTTGTCATGGCATTATGCCATTTGTGTTGTAGGTCATTGAGAGGCACTATGCAAGATCTCTGGGGGTCTATAATGAAGAACTAGCTCGCAGAGAAGGAGGAAACGCCACAGAACATGAAGAACCGACTGATGCTTCTGTGGTCATGTACTGGTCCTTGTCTGTGGCCATCTTCGCCATCGGAGGCATGGTGTCCTCCTTTCTAGTGAGCTTTGTTAGCGACTTCCGTGGAAGGTGGAGTATTTGTGAACTTGTGAATTATTATCTGTGATGAGATAAAAAGGAAACCGCATAAGGATGTTAATTGCAAGAAATAGTTTTAGCTTCCTTTATCTTGAAAGAATAAGTTTTATATGGTCAGATTCAGTGGAATGTGACTCATATTTTTGGTCCTGTCTGTATAAAATTGATTTACAGGATCAAAGGTATGCTGTATATAAATGTCCTGAAGACCTTTTTAGGCCTTAATTTGAGGAAGGTCAAAATTAGGACCTGTTGTGTTTTCCTGTCTCACAGCAGTTAACAGGCACACTCGCTCTGGCAGTGTTCACAGCTGCGCTTGGCTCTCTGCAGATGGGATACAGCCTGGGCGTCATCAACGCCCCACAGAAGGTCAGTCATCACACCATCATTACAGCCTTCACTCTCCTAGCTGCATTCAGAGCCAGCGTGATATGGAGTTATCTCTTTGAGATTATATCTTCAAGAGAAAGGACTATTGTTCATTATCATTATTGGGAAGGAATTTGTCATGGCATTATGCCATTTGTGTTGTAGGTCATTGAGAGGCACTATGCAAGATCTCTGGGGGTCTATAATGAAGAACTAGCTCGCAGAGAAGGAGGAAACGCCACAGAACATGAAGAACCGACTGATGCTTCTGTGGTCATGTACTGGTCCTTGTCTGTGGCCATCTTCGCCATCGGAGGCATGGTGTCCTCTTTTCTAGTGAGCTTTGTTAGCGACTTCCGTGGAAGGTGGAGTATTTGTGAACTTGTAAATTATTATCTGTGATGAGATAAAAAGGAAACCGCATAAGGATGTTAATTGCAAGAAATAGTTTTAGCTTCCTTTATCTTGAAAGAATAAAGTTTTATATGGTCAGATTCAGTGGAATGTGACTCATATTTTTGGTCCTGTCTGTATAAAATTGATTTACAGGATCAAAGGTATGCTGTATATAAATGTCCTGGCTATAACAGCTGGGCTGTTAATGGGTCTGTCTAAGTTGGGCACACCTTACCTCATGGTGATAGCAGGACGTGCTATCATGGGACTGTACTGTGGTAAGACAGAACCGTACCTCTATTTTCATGGAATCTTGAGAGAAAAGCAAGGCAAGGCTTTTATTAAAAAAAAAAAAAAAAAAACAAGAGTGCAAAATAGTGTTTTTTTCTTCATAATAATAATAATAACCTTACTCTAGCAATGTAAAAATTAAAAAGCAGCACCTCAGAAAGTGATAAATAATTAATAAATAACTCACATTTTAGATACAACATTGCCAGTTATTTTTTTGCTCCACAAATGGAATAGTAATGTTCATGAACAATTCATTAATTTGTGTCTCTCAAGTAACCAAAGGAATGAAAGATTTGAACCTGAAGACACATTAGGAACTCACAATTTCTGTTTCTCATCGTTTGTCTTTGCATGTTTTCCCAATTCACAATGTGATCAATGATTGCGTATGTGGACATGTTCAGGGATTTTGAAAATATATAACATTTTAATTCAACTAATTTAAGCTCAAACTGAACAAAATTGACATTGACTCAAATAATAGTAGTTCATTGTGCCAAACAAGGTTCAAAGATCATGACTCATGACTACAACGAAAGTAGAAGCCGCTGCGTCTCGGAGCAGCATTCAGAAGCAGTGTTTCCTGATCGAATCAGTTGAGCGAATTATTCAATGACTCACTCATAAAGGCAGCCATTTGCTTCATTCCTAAAGGAATCATTATTTGAAACAAATCGGTTGAGTGAATGATTCATGGTTCACTCATAAAGACAATCACTTTTTGTCCACTGCAGACGTAATGAATACATATAACATATATATCACATATACTGTATGCAAGTAATTTACTTAAATTAGTTTTATTACATTGCACTGTTATGTATGTTTTGTCTGCGCACTGGTTCATATATCACACGTGTTGTAGGTCTGTCGTCTGGCCTGGTGCCGCTGTACATTGGAGAGATTTCTCCAGTGAAGTACAGAGGTGCTATGGGAGCACTTCACCAGCTGGCTATTGTAATTGGCATCCTTATTAGTCAAGTGAGTGCCACTTTTATAATACATCTAATCCACAATAAGGGTAAAAAGTTAGTGGGAGCTGAATATTAAAGGGTTAGTTCACCCAAAAATGAAAATTCTGTCATTAATTACTCACCCTCATGTCGTTTCAAACCCGTAAGACCTCCGTTCATCTTCGGAACACAAATTAAGATATTTTTGACGGAATCTGAGAGCTGTCTGACCCTCCCATAGACAGCAATACAACTGAAATGTTCCCCGGTCCAGAAACGTAGCAAGGAGATCTGTAAAAGATCAAATCACAACAACGTAGGAAACAGATCCGGCTTGACGCAGCTGACACAGAACAGCATACGCTGTTTACGTCCAGCTGATACTCTCCAAAATGGCACCTGACATGGAGGAGACAAATTGTTGAATAAAGTCATTATTTTTTTTCTTTTGCGCACAAAAATTATTCTCGTAGCTTTGTAAAAGTACTGTTGAATACCTGATGTCAGTTGGTTGGTGTTAAAGAATTGTGTTATAATAATCCCTACAAATAGGCCAACAACTCATTATATACACTATGAACACTTTAAAGGAGACAGACATGTAGATGTTTGTGAAAGATGTTTTCTCTGTTTTGGAGGGATGATTATTTTTAAATCATACCCTATTTATTGCATCAAAATTTCTTAATACTTTACTATATTTAAGGGTGGATAATTTTATCAGTTGTTTATTGAAACAGTACATAACTACAATAACTTTGTCTAGGGCTCTTATGAAAGTTTATAGCATAATTTGTGAAAATTTAACTATACTGAATGACGTGGCATACTCTTCTTCATGGCTAGTTTTTGCGTATTTCATTTCATTCTGTAACCTACTTGTTCTACAGATCTGTGTGTACTAGTGTTAAATGCTACTGTTTTTGACAGCTAACGTTTATGACGGATAATATCATGATAATGTTCGCGTTTCCCTTACCGAATGTCGTATCCTGTCAGCAAAAACCCGTCCATGGGCTTTTTTGATTGCGTTCAGTTTAAGTGCCGGCGATGCAGTGTTGCCAGATATTGATACTAAAACAAACAAAATACTAAAAATAAATAAATATAAACCGAAATAATTTCCAATCTTTTGCAAATAAGATGAGATAAAGATATCGCTGATTCTAAACTGAAGCTTCCTACTTTATTAACTTTCTAAAGTGTTAAATTAAGTGGAAAATACAAGTCCAAAAACGCTTATAATAGCTGGATCTAGCAACACGGACCCGCCAGCGTCTCGTAGCGATCATTTTCATAACAGGGACGCTAAACATTCTTGCAAACTATGAGGAGTTTAACAGCAAATCAGTCATTCAAAGAACAAATTAAATTTTTGAACATGAAAAATTTACCGAGGTCTGGACCTCGGTGGCCTCATAGCTGGTTACGGGCCTGCTTACGGGTTTGAAACGACATGAGGATGAGTAGCCTAATTAATGACAGAATTTTCATTTTTGGGTGAACTATCCCTTTAACTGAATATTTAATTTTATTTAATAAAAGAACATGACCATACATGGTCGTCCATGGAAAATCAGTTTTACAATCAGCTGAAACAACTGTGATAAAAAAAATAGTGATGTATTTTAAGTAAGATGCTAATGAGGTCTAAGCCCCTACTCTCTTTATCAGTTTCAAAAAAATTAAGCCTTTATTGTTCTTTCAAATTGTTTGATTCTTTTTTAGTAACTCTTTTTCAGTTCTTATTAGAATCTGTAAGATGTGTGCAGGTGTCCTTGTTATCTGCAGGTCATCGGTCTGGATTTCCTGCTGGGAAATGATGACATGTGGCACGTGTTGCTGGGTCTTTCTGGAGCTCCTGCCATCCTGCAGAGTCTGCTGCTGCTTGTGTGTCCAGAAAGTCCTCGATTCCTCTACATCAAACAAGGCAAAGTGGAAGAAGCATGCAAGAGTATGTGTCCAAAGCCTTCTCACTCACTACTCTTGGACAACATGCATTGATAATAGGCCGTTTATGAGAATAAATCACAACATTATGACACTAAAGTACTAATATTTTAAGAATAAAGTCAAAACTACAAGAACAACGTTTTGTGGGATTCAAGTCAGTATGATAATAAGGAAAGTAGCATCAAAGTGAAATGGAGCTGGCTGCCATTACAGATTGCACAAAACAAGCAATTTCCTGAATGTCCGTCTGGTTCTTTTTCCTTAATAAATTCAATTTCCTTCAGGTTCACTGCTTGATTCTAATGATAACTCTGAGATGATTTGCCAAAATAATTTCTTTGTTAGTAAATACTAACACATGCTAGCCAATCTAAATACTCCACATACATTTTCTGCATTGATGAAGCTAATTAATATTTATTTTACCCTCAAAATCCTATAAGGCTATATTATGTTTTTAATCTCTTAAACTGAAGATATTATACTTGAAACATTACAACTTTATTCTCCAAACTTTATGCCTTTGTTCTTGTAACAGTATGACTTTATTCTCATAACATTGACTTAATTTTCAAAACAATGTGACTTAATTTTTTGTAATTTTTTTTAACATTAACCATATTTTTGTAACTTCGCAATTTTATTCTTGCAACATTGACATTATTTTGGTAACATTATACATTTATTTTTTGTAACATTACAACTTTATTCTTGTAAAAGAACTTTATTTCTGTAACATTATGACATAATAATTTTTTTTTTAAAAAAACATTAGGACCTTATTCTCTTTTTTTTTTCTCTCATGACGAATTTGTATGTATTTTACAAGGTGCGTATTCGTACCACCTCACTTGTACGATTTTGTCCGATTTCACTGAGAGGTTGGCTTATTCGTATGAATTCCTACAAATTTGCCACCTTGTAAAATACGTAAAATTTTTCACAAACCAGACAGATTCGTATGAGTGAGGTTGTATGAATTAGCCAAGAACAAAAACTATAACGATATTAGCGTCCACACCAACGGACTTTAAAGTTGAATGTATTTTGATTGGCTGTCAATGTTTTTATCATTCACCCAAAGGAAATTTTTTTTTTCTAAAAGTGATTATAAGAATATGGTTCCTCTTTGTCATCACTGTTATAATTGTGGCTGAAATTCAGAATGTTCTAAAAATCACTGTAGTCTCCTAGACTAGAGCAATTTTGACAACTTTGTTTAGTTGATGAACATTCTGAATTTCCTCAACAAAATGATGATTCCCAGTTCTTCTTTCTGGTAGGTCTGAAAAGGCTAAAGGGAGATTACGACACCTCAAAGGACATAGCAGAGATGCAGGCAGAGAAAGAGGAGGCCATGAAGGAGGCGCAAATGTCCATCCTGCGGCTGCTCCGTTCCTCTGTGTACCGCCAGCAGCTCTTTGTGGCCCTGATGATGCATTTATCCCAGCAGTTCTCTGGGATCAACGCTGTACGCTCAATCTGCCTTTATGCTCCCATTATATTGAAAAAAAACCATTTCGATTGACATTTTATGGACCCCATTACTATTAGACAACATCATAATATATTTGATCTTCTCTTTGTTGTTTTTTTCTAGATCTTTTATTACTCTACTTCGATCTTCCAGTCTGCGGGGGTCGGTCAGCCTGTGTATGCCACTATTGGAGTGGGAGTTATAAACATCATTTTCACCCTTGTGTCGGTAAACAGACACTAATTTAAAGGCAAACACTGGCTGCTGAGGAACAGGCTCTCGTCTCTTAGAAACAGCAGAGTTCAGGGTTTTACTTTCCCTTAATGCTTTTTGACAATATTTCGAGACTGATATTGTAGATATTCCAACTCATTTGAGAGCATGTTTCTTTAGACAACAGATTGCAGCTAAGGCAGAGCAGCTTTCATTAGCACTATGATCAAAATGTGTCACTTATTTAGGTTAGATTTATACAAACTTGTGCTGACATTATCAATCATGCCCATATTTAACATATATGACCCAGTGAGACATCTCACCTTGAATCTTGCGAACAAATTAAGTTATAATTACTGCTACATAGATCTGGAGAGGTGGCTGAAGCCTCACAGAGCTGGAGAGCAGCCATATGTTATCAGGGACTTTGCAGTGTTTATGTCTGCTAGTTCAAGGGCAGCCTGCAATTGAAAACAGTTTTGAGTAATGAGTCAAGAGCTACTCTAAATCAAATAATCCATTCAGAACAAGTTTTGATGAATCTGGTGCATGAAAGCGCAATACTTTAGACTAGCCTAAGAGCAAAGTCATTTTCTAATTTTGAAAAATATGGTTTAAATGTGAACTCACGTGAGATGAAGACTGCAGACAGGTAAAAACAGCTTAATAAAAATACATTAAAAGCCACCACACAAAGGTATTGTGATCACTTAAGCAGCCAGATACTGTTCATTTTATTTGAATTGGGATTTTTGTGATGGGGCAACCCAAAAGTCTGGTGGTGACATGACAATGCTAAAAAATTAATAAAATAAAATACACAATATAATAATAATAATAATAAAATTAATTAATAATTTTCAATACAAAATGGAATACAATACATATATGGATGAATATACAAATGTCCACCAAACTGTTAGAAAAAAGCATTAATAATAATAAAATTGTTCAACTAAATATTTCTATATTTACAGTGAATTCAGGTTAATTGGGACATTTTTCCCAAGTGATTTCAATGGTAAAACTGTGTCCCAATTTAAATAGTATGTTTAGCAGTTCAAGGCCACTAGATGTCAGTGTATTTTAAAAATTCATTCCGTTCCACCTTCAAAACATCTTTCAGCATATTGGCAACTGTAGATAATTCTTGAACAGTCCTGTTCATTCATGTGTTTTTTACAGGTGATCTTGGTGGACAGAGCGGGCAGACGGACTCTCACTATTGTTGGATTGGGAGGAATGTGCTGCTGTGCTGTGGCCATGACAGTGGGCCTGGCTTTTCAGGTATGATCTGCATTTCTTTATATATATATATATATATATATATATGAGACAACAAAAAATTAACAGTAATGAAGAAATCTCGAGTAGGTCTGTGGTCTGTGGTTGTTTAATGTCTCACCTTTTATTCTGTTTCTCAGGATGTTTACTTGTGGATGAGCTACCTCAGCTTGGCAGCCATATTCCTGTTCGTGTCGTTCTTTGAGATCGGGCCTGGACCAATCCCATGGTTCATTGTGGCGGAGATCTTCAGTCAGGGGCCGCGGCCAGCAGCCATCGCATTAGCTGGGTGTTGCAACTGGACATGTAATTTCATCATTGGCATGTTTTTCCCTTATTTAGAGGTAAATTGAGTTCCCTGAACCTTTAATATTGTGCAGTATCTTTACATGCCATCACTACATAAGGTCTTAAGACTCTTCTTTGGTCCTTAGGGTCTTTGTGGGAGCTATGTCTTCATCGTTTTTGCAGTACTCCTATTCGGTTTCACTGTTTTTATCTACTTGCGTGTACCTGAAACAAAAGGGAAGACTTTTGAGGAGATAGCAGCTGTTTTCCATCGCAAACGTGGAGCTCCCTCTTCCAAACCTCAAGAAGAAGCTGAGATGGTGCAGCTCAAGAGCTCTACAGAGGCCTGAAAGGGGCTGTTATCTTCTGGAAGCTGTGGAATGAACGATGTTACTGCTGTCACAGAACTCACCTGTTATGACAGAACTGATCTGCTGTATATTCCACAGAGCTTCACATCGAGAGCTCAATGGCTTAGCTCATCATTTGACAGGAAATAATTGGTCTTGGAGCAGGTAAAGAGATTAACTAAACACAACAGCATAATCGGGAAAGATGGTGCACAATATAGACATGCACTGGCTTTGTTGCAACCGATGTTGAGACTTACATGGTTGTATATTATTTTTATATTCCCAATGTTATATCTGTAAAAGATATTTTAAAGGCATTATAAAATATTTTAAGTGTATTTTATTAGTGTTTTGTCCTTTTAGTTTAATGTTTTGTCATACAACTCAAACAATCACCTGAAAGAAGATTAACCTATGAAAAAACATCACCTACAGTTTGTTAGTGCATAAATAATAATATTCTTACATTTTGTTCAAGACTTACATTGGTGGTATTACATTTGTGTATTTTTGCCATTATAAAATTGTCCATATTTTAAGTAATTCATTCCAATAACAAACTTCCATAGCAATGATTGGCTTTGCTGGATATAGGACTGTTAGGAAATAACAGTTAGGGCCTACTTTATTGCAGCTACAGTAGTAGGTTGATGGTTGATACAGTACATAGGAAGGCCTTTGAAAACACCATGGTGCTGAAACTCTTTTTGTTGCGTGTTGTTTTTGTCATTCTTACATTAAAGTTATACTTCATGGCAGTTTGATGAGTGTCAATGTACCTGGAAAGTTATTGCAAAGATGCTGTGTACATTACTTACTGTACATTTACCATTCACTATTTTGGAGTTGGTAGATGGTAGGATTGTTTAATGTTTTTGAAAGAAGTCTCTTGTGCTTACTAAGGCTACATTTATTTGTAAAAAAAAATATTACTATTGTTCAATATTATTATTTAAAATAACTTTTCATAGTCACATGATGCTTCAGAAATGAATCATTCTATGGTGATTGGGTTCTCAAGAAACGTATATCATTGTTGATAAACAGGGCCGTGCACAGACATTTTGAGGGGCAGTGACCCAAACCAAAAAAATCTGTCTCTTCCCTCTCTGTTTCATTGTGTTGCCTTTCTTTCTCAATCTGAACATTTTCTGTCTGTGGCTCGGTTCCAAGACCTTCACTTTTACTTTGTTGAATTGACTCTGGGGCAGTTTCATCTTAATATAGAGAATGAATAACAAACCTTTTACAGTCATATTGTAAATACAATTGTTAGGCTTAGTGCTAATTCAATTTATGTTGTTGTAATGTAATTGCTCGTTCATTCAAATAATTTAATGTATATTTTACTTTTTTATCACACTCTAGCATATTCCTTGGTTGTCAGCCAGTCTTACCTGTACCTGTCTGATTTAGCTGATGCTCAGTGGGCTCTTCCTCACTCTCTGAGCCTGCTTCTTCCTCATCTTCAGTGGAAGTATAAATATTAGACATTTAACCCTCATCCGTCCTTCGGGTCATTTTGACCCAAAACTCATTTTTAAAGATTTTTTTTTTTTTAAAGCGAGCGTTGATCGTTATGGTATGAGACTTTGTGACTTTTGTCACACTTGAACCGGGAATACACGAAGAAAAAAAAATTCAAGTGAATTCGAGCAGTTTAAGTGGGTGTTATATAAAAAGTAACAAAAGTGTCCCTCGTGGGTCATTTTGACCCGCCACTGGAAAAGCATGGAATTAACGAAAAAACTGCGGATATTTATTTATTTAATTTTGTCACACTTAAGCATGGAGCAAACACAAAAAAATTTGAGTCGATTCGAGGATTCTATGTGGGTGTAATAAAAAAAAGTAACAAGTGTCCCTCTCAGGTCATTTTGACCCAGCCATAGGAATTAATGGTATGTCTGGAAAAAAAAAAAAAGTATTTTTATTTTATTTTTACTATACAAAATCTGACACAATCCAGAAAAGATGCATACCCAAACAAAGGGCTGAGACTGCAGAATGTCCCCAATGCACAAAAAACTCACATACTCACACACACAGGCACACAAACACACGCATGGCACACACACGTTCCAATTGAAATGCATTATAGCATGTATGTTTCTGCTGTGAAATGACTGCCATTTTGAATTTTTTTTTACTTAACCGTTAAATTTGAGTGATGGGGTGAAGACCAATGAGTTTATATCATATTTATATATTTTTTATTTATCTTTTATATTTATTACATATTTATGAAAATGTATGAATATGCATATGTTTGGATTAAAATTCAGTATCAATTAAATTTTTTTAAAAATAAAATATAATTTTTAAAAATGTTTTGATGTATATCTGAAAGCCTTGAGATATATCTGAAAGCTTAATGAAGCCTCAAGGTGGTGTAGTTTTAAAGATTTCACTTGTTTGGCTCATTTAAGAATCTCCATAGGATTCTGGTAATTAGCTTTAAGAGTTTAAATGTAAAATGATTATTTTTTTATATTCAATATTTTCACCACAAGTTCTGCTTGTGTTTGATTTAGTGCAGTGATTAAGTGTAATTGTTTTGTTAAGCTGAATGCCATTCATATACTCATGACTGAATCTCTTTGTTTAAAATGCTGAATTTCCAAGAAACTCACCTATAATCTCCTCATTTCTGTTTCTATGTGCTGCTGTGGCATGAAGTCAAGTTTTCTGAACAAGTTAAGCAAATGAGTAAGTATTACAGTTGATACAAAAGAAAAATTAGCTTTATTATGCGACAGTAGAGTTTAATATATAAATATCGCAGGTGTTAAAAATAAATAAATAAATTGTTGTGAAAAGTATTGTTTTATTGACATTTTATGTTAGTGATGGATTTAAGTAGTGTTCACAAACAATATTGCAGTAATTATTATAGATCATTAATTAAAACCCTCAACCGTCCCTCGGGTCATTTTGACCCGAAACTAATTTTTAACGATTTTTTAAAAATCGAGCGTTGATCGTTATGGTATGAGACTTTGTGACTTTTGTCACACTTGAACCGGGAATACACGAAGAAAAAAAAATTCAAGTGAATTCGAGCAGTTTAAGTGGGTGTTATATAAAAAGTAACAAAAGTGTCCCTCGTGGGTCATTTTGACCCGCCACTGGAAAAGCATGGAATTAACGAAAAAACTGCGGATATTTATTTATTTAATTTTGTCACACTTAAGCATGGAGCAAACACAAAAAAATTTGAGTCGATTCGAGGATTCTATGTGGGTGTAATAAAAAAAAGTAACAAGTGTCCCTCTCAGGTCATTTTGACCCAGCCATAGGAATTAATGGTATGTCTGGAAAAAAAAAAAAAGTATTTTTATTTTATTTTTACTATACAAAATCTGACACAATCCAGAAAAGATGCATACCCAAACGAAGGGCTGAGACTGCAGAATGTCCCCAATGCACAAAAAACTCACATACTCACACACACAGGCACACAAACACACGCATGGCACACACGCGTTCCAATTGAAACGCATTATAGCATGTATGTTTCTGCTGTGAAATGACTGCCATTTTGAATTTTTTTTTACTTAACCGTTAAATTTGAGTGATGGGGTGGAGACCAATGAGTTTATATCATATTTATATATTTTTTATTTATCTTTTATATTTATTACATATTTATGAAAATGTATGAATATGCATATGTTTGGATTAAAATTCAGTATCAATTAAATTTTTTTTTAAATAAAATATAATTTTTTAAAATGTTTTGATGTATATCTGAAAGCCTTGAGATATATCTGAAAGCTTAATGAAGCCTCAAGGTGGTGTAGTTTTAAAGATTTCACTTGTTTGGCTCATTTAAGAATCTCCATAGGATTCTGGTCGCCGTGATTTTGCCAAGTAAGACATGTTCCTGGATCAACATTTTTGTTGATCCTGGATCAACATTACGGTCCAAAAATATAGACCTAACCCAATCCCTTCCCCTAAACCTAACCCTACCCATAATTTATTCCTAAAATCAGAGGGAAATTATAGGTGAATAACAAGGGTGTTGAAGCATCCAACCCTGATTGTAAGCCTAAAACTGACATTTCTTGAAAACATATCCCTAAATTCTGATTGGTTGATTGGAATGTTGTTCCAGGAACATGTTGTACTTGATGAAATCACGTTCACCTAGGATTCTATGGGGCCTCCTCTAGTGGCTGTAATCATAAAATGCAATTTTATGTCCTTTTTCCCCAACAGATGGCATCAGAGACACTCAGTGACCTAGGTCCTGATGGATCATCATGTTTAAAGTATAAATATGCAGAAATTGTGTCTTTCTTTGTTTTTGGTGAAAAATTGTACAAAAATATGCTCATTTTCATAAAAATATCCTGAATTTAATGTGAATTAAAAAATTTAAAAACTACATAAAAAATGAGGGGAAAAAATCATAAAAATGGACCAATATAAGCTTTCTGGACCCAAATAAATTGTCATTTTTGGCCTTCGGGTCATTTTGACCCACGAGGGACACTTTTGCTATGTTCGGGAGCATAAATCTATATTATATAAACAACTCATTTTGAACCTACATACATTTTTAACTATTTATAGGCCTACTATTAATATGGTTTTAATGAAATATTAGCCTATACATGTGATAGTATCAACTAAGACAAGTGATTATAATGTGAAATGTACTTAATTACAAACATTTAAATGTGACAAACTGCTAAATATATATATATATATCTATATGTGACCCTGGACCACGAAACCAGTCAAAAGTAGCATAGGCATATTTGTAGCAATAGCCAATAAAACATTGTATGCATGGGTCAAAATTATCTATTTTTCTTTTATGCCAAAGATCATTAGGATATGATGTAAAGGTCATGTTCCATGATCAACACTTTATTTTTGATTAGTAATATGCATTTGGACAACTTTAAATGCGATTTTCTCAATATTTAGATTTTTTGCACCCTCAGATTTCAGATAGGTGTATCTCGCCCAAATATTGTCCTATCCTAAAAAACCATACATCAATGTAATTTCTAAAATATTGACCCTTATGACTGGTTTTGTGGTCCATGGTCACATTGACCTGCTGGCTTGCTGGAGCTTAAATTCATGTTTGCAATGTTGAACTGCCTTTTAGCAGTCTTCTTTTTTGTGAAGGCACTGTTTTTTTTTCTACAAAGTGTGTCAACAACAGCAAATTTGGTGTTATCTATTTTGGATTAGATCTGACCAACCACGGACTAATGTGGATTGTAATGCATCTACCTGTTAATGCAACGAGCTTCGAGAACTGTTTCCACTCTCCAGAGAGCGGGCACACAGATTGTGAGTGATGCTGCGGGCGGGAAAACACGGAGCGGATTAGTGGAATCAGTGGATCTTTAGCGATAACAGTATAGAACTCTATGAGCTGGGGCGATGGAGGGCAGAGGGGCAGTGGCTCTAGCCACCGGGCCACCCCCCTGTGTACATGAATGTCTTAAAAAGGTGTATAAATATTATGATAGTTTAACTATACTGTCCTGCTCGTACCATTAGTGGAGATGCAGACAGCCTGATCCCTCTGCAGTGAGTCTGTGTCAGTTCTGTTGTCCGCACACACACCCAAACTGTCCCGCTTATCTGTCTGTCCAGCAGCTGTGATCCTGCAAACAAACCACAAACCAAAAAATGAGTGAGACATATAATAAGCCTGCTGATATTTGTTACTGTAAAAAATGTTATTTGCGACGATTCTGCATCTTTCCGTTGTTTTGAATAATGAATTGCTATATATATTGTAATATGATCTTAGCCTATTTATAGCGTCCCACTGTCATATAGCCCACAGCTGATTTGCTATGAGAATATGTGGAAGAATGAAACGCTGATGTACTTGAAGGTGAGGGTCTGGCCACAGAAGTACGTGGGGGAGTTGGAGTACAGAACACCACCGTGACCAGGTGATGAGTCATTGCGCATGGCGATGTTCTTCCTACTGCTTAAAATGTAACCATCCACGCCTGGAAGCCATTCTGCAAACGCACAATAAAACAACCTTTGTGAAACACTTTCACACTCAGTGGAGGCGTTTTATGAAAACTTTCCACAGAAATTTGTTCATCATTTACTCACCCTCAAGTAGTTCCAAACCTGTATGAATTTCTTTCTTCTGCTGGACATAAAAGAAGATATTTTGAATGTGGGTAACCAAACAGTTGCTGGTCCCCATTGACTTCCATAGTATGGGGGAAAAAAAAACTACTACTTGAGGGTGAGTAAATGACAGAATTTTCATTTTTGGGTGAACTATCTCTTTAAGACACCCAGTATATCATTAGAGCGCGTTTGCAATACCAGGCTTCGTTCAGTTTGTACCGTGGGGTGCTAGTGTGGTGTAGCCGGTCTGCGGGATGCTCCACGGGCTCCATTCGGTTCGGCCCTCTCCTCTGGCACACACACGAAACAGGTGGTCGATGTGCGGGTCAAGATGGAGCACCAGAAACTCGGTGTCTTTTCCAATGTACGCATCCTCATACTGAGAAGAGTTACCACGACGGTACTGCAAGCGGTAGTCTTGAGGGGTGAAGTCATCGTCCACCTACACACAAACAGTAGGCATTCCCAACAGTCGCCGTGATTTTGCCAAGACATGTTCCTGGATCAACATTACTGTCCAAAAATATAGACCTAACCCAATCCCTTCCCCTAAACCTAACCCTACCCATAATTTATTCCTAAAAGCAGAGGGAAATTATAGGTGAATAACAAGGGTGTTGAAGCATCCAATAAGCCTAAAAAGCCTAAAACTGACATTTCTTGAAAACATATCCCTAAATTCTGATTGGTTGATTGGAATGGAACATGTTGAACATGTTGTACTTGATGAAATCACGTTCACCTAGGATTCTATGGGGCCTCCTCTAGTGGCTGTAATCATAAAATGCAATTTTATGTCCTTTTTCCCCAACAGATGGCATCAGAGACACTCAGTGACCTAGGTCCTGATGGATCATCATGTTTAAAGTATAAATATGCAGAAATTGTGTCTTATGGTTTCGGGAAACACCGAATCGTTGAACTATGTTGGTTAACGACAGAACTTGCGACCATAGTTGGCTAACGATGCTTTTGGGAAACGCACCCCAGTTTAACAGTCTTACCGGTCTGATTTGGCTGATGCTCAATGGGCTCTTCCTCACTCTCTGAGCCTGCTTCTACAAGTATAAATATTAGACATTTAATTTAATATTATACAGCATAAATCTATATTATATAAACAACTCATTTTGAACCTACATACATTTTTAACTATTTATAGGCCTACTATTAATATGGTTTTAATGAAATATTAGCCTATACATGTGATAGTATCAACTAAGACAAGTGATTATAATGTGAAATGTACTTAATTACAAAAATTTAAATGTGACAAACTGCTAAATATATATATATATCTATATGTGACCCTGGACCACGAAACCAGTCAAAAGTAGCATAGGCATATTTGTAGCAATAGCCAATAAAACATTGTATGCATGGATCAAAATTATCTATTTTTCTTTTATGCCAAAGATCATTAGGATATGATGTAAAGGTCATGTTCCATGATCAAAACTTTATTTTTGATTAGTAATATGCATTTGGACAACTTTAAATGCGATTTTCTCAATATTTAGATTTTTTGCACCCTCAGATTTCAGATAGGTGTATCTCGCCCAAATATTGTCCTATCCTAAAAAACCATACATCAATGTAATTTCTAAAATATTGACCCTTATGACTGGTTTTGTGGTCCATGGTCACATTGACCTGCTGGCTTGCTGGAGCTTAAATTCATGTTTGCAATGTTGAACTACCTTTTAGCAGTCTTCTTTTTTGTGAAGGCACTGTTTTTTTTTCTACAAAGTGTGTCAACAACAGCAAATTTGGTGTTATCTATTTTGGATTAGATCTGACCAACCACGGACTAATGTGGATTGTAATGCATCTACCTGTTAATGCAACGAGCTTCGAGAACTGTTTCCACTCTCCAGAGAGCGGGCACACAGATTGTGAGTGATGCTGCGGGCGGGAAAACACGGAGCGGATTAGTGGAATCAGTGGATCTTTAGCGATAACAGTATAGAACTCTATGAGCTGGGGCGATGGAGGGCAGAGGGGCAGTGGCTCTAGCCACCGGGCCACCCCCCCTGTGTACAGCCCTGTTGATAAAGGTGGAAGGTTGAAGTTGAATGGGTGGCTAGTCATCAATGCATTCTCCAATAAACTGAACTTTGGCAGTTGCTAATACTACAGATCAAACTAGATAAAAAAGGTTCGTCAAGACAAACTTTAGGTTGGCTTGAGAAAGCCTAGCCTGAAAGTTTAAAGCAGTTGTAAAAGCCTGAAGTTTGAAAATTTAGGTATATTAGATCAGGGGTGTCCAAACTCGGTCCTGGAGGGCCGGTGTCCTGTAGAGTTTAGCTCCAACCCCAATTAAACACACCTGAACCAGCTAATCAAGCTCTTACGGCACACTAGAAACTTAAAGGCAGGAGTGCTGAGGCAAGTTGGAGCTAAACTCTGCAGGACACCGGCCCTCCAGGACCGAGTTTGGGCAGCCCTGGATTAGATATATGTTGATAACATGTTTCTAGCATGATTAGCATTTTTTAACATGATTGGCCTGTTACTGGCATTTTGTTGGCATAATTAGCATGTTGCTAGCATGATTAGCAAATAACTAGCATGTTGCTAGCATGATTAGCAACATTACTAGCATGTTGTAAGCATGATTAGCATGCTACTAGCATTTTGTTGGCATGATTAAGTAACTAGCATGTTGTTAACATGATTAGCAAGTACCTAGCATGTTGTTAACATGACTAGCAAGTGACTAGCATGTCACTAGCATGATTAGCCAGTTATTAGAATGTCTCTAACATGTTTCTAGCCTGATTAGCATGTTACTACCATGTTGCTAGCATGATTAACATGCTACTAGCATGTTGCTAACATGATTAACAAGTGACTAGCATGTTTCTAGCATGATTAGCATTTTACTAGCATGTTGCTAGCATTATTAGCAAGTAACTACCATGTTGCTAGCATGATTAGCAAGTTACTAGCATGTCGTTAGCATGTTTCTAGTATGATTAGCATGTTACTAGCATGTCGCTAGCATGTTTCTAGCATGATTAGCATGCTACTAGAATGTTGCTAGCATGATTAGCAAGTAACTAGCATGTTACTTGGATGATTAGCAAAGGACTAGCATGTCACTAGCATGATTAGCCAGTTATTAGCATGTCTCTAGCATTTTTCTAGCATGATTAGCATGTTACTACCATTATGCTAGCATGATTAACATGCTACTAGCATGTTGCTAACATGATTAACAAGTGACTAACATGTTTCTAGCATGATTAGCATTTTACTAGCATGTTGCTAGCATTATTAACAAGTAACTACCATGTTGCTAGCATGATTAGCAAGTTACTAGCATGTCGTTAGCATGTTTGTAGCATGTTACTAGCATGTCGCTAACATGTTTCTAGCATGATTAACATGCTACTAGCATGTTGCTAGCATGATTAGCAAGAAACTAGCATGTTACTTGGATGATTAGCAAGTTACTAGCATGTCAATACCATGTTTCTAACATGATTAGCATGTTATTAGCACATTGCTAGCATGATTAGCATGCTACTAGTTTATTTTGCTAGCATGATTAGCATGTTTCTAGCATAATTAGCAAGTTACTAGCATGTCACTAGCATGTTTCTAGCTTGATTAGCATGCTACTAGCATGTTGCTAGCATGATTAGCAAGTGACTAGCATGTTTCTAGCATGATTAGCAAGTTACTAGCATTTCGGTATGCATTTTTCTAGCATGTTGCTAGTATTATTAGCATGCTACTAGCATTTTAGTATGTTTCTAACATGATTAGCATGTCGTTAGGATAGATAGATATAGTCAGATGATAGATAGATAGCATGCTACTAGCATGTTGCTAGCATGATTAGCAAGTGACTAGCATTTTTCTAGCATGATTAGCAAGTTACTAGCATGTCGGTAGCATGATTAGCATGTTACTAACATGTTTGCTAGCATCATTAGCATGCTACTAGCATGTTGTTAGTATAACATGATTAGCATTCCGCTAGGATAGATAGATAGATAGATAGATAGTGACCTAAAAATATTTTGTAATTTCTGATGGGAGGAGTAAATACAACTCTTGCATACATAACTAACAAAGGTTAATTATAAGCAAAATGTTTAACTGTGTGCTCTTAGGATAAGGGTACGTTTTCTGAGGCTATCAGAGCGAGGCAATTCCCACGTGTTTTCAATAATAAGTGTAGGCTTATTTAATCAATTACAATAGCATATTTGTTGGCAAAACCAAAATAATGGTTTGTGTTTTTCTTTTAGTTGCATTTTACATTTTTACTATTTCGTGAATTGTTTTGTATCTCCTAATTGTTTGACTAGGCTACTTAAATTTGAGCACTACGCAGCTGAAACAGTTTCTCCTCGTGCATGAGAATCTCGTTGCAGTAAAGGTTCACGCGCATGCGCAGATCTCTCCGTCTTTTGTTGGAAGGGAATGACTGGCGTTTTCAATGCTCTCCGCTCCAGCATCGCAACATTTCTAGACGAATCCTCTGTATACAGTACAGTGGGTGGATACAACTCTGGAAAGAGGATTTGGCGATTGAAGACGGTGTCCTGAAGCGGTCGATTGTGTGATCAGAGCGTCTGGGTGTGGAATTGTTTTATTTTGCATGTGTGTCAAGCTGGTGCAAAGCTAGACGGAGCAGCATAACGGCCTGACAAAAGTTCTTGATTCAGATGCGAACCTCTCTGTTTACTCCGTTACGAACGATGTGCCATAGTTTGTGTTTGTTCACGAGCAAAATCGTGTTTTATACAGTTTATGAGATCATAAACTGTCTTTAAAGGATTCGGTCAATTCAGTAGTTCCGGTTAACTTTGCGTGAGTCATTCATCCAGCCCAAGCACCCATGCTGCTCCGACTGCATTAGATTCGGCAAATTTATGGAGTTTAACCTCACACGCTTGTTTTTTGGTAGCCAGGTCGTGGTAGTTAGTAGTTAATGAGTCGTAGGTTTCACAGTTACGACATTGGTAATGAGTTCGTATGGTTAGTCTAGTTAAGTTACGTTCCAACACTACAGTCTACTCCATTAGCGCACTTCAACCAGGCCAAAAGTTGTATAAGCTTTTACATGCTCTCTGTTGAATTAAGTCTACCGTATAAAGATTACCAGAGAAATTAATCTCGTTAATTTTCAATTCAGCAAACTACCAATGTTTTAATACACTTAAAGGACAGTTCACGCAAAAAGTCACCCTCGTGGCGATTCAAACCTGTATGACTTTCTTCTGTGGAACATATAAGTTTTGGTTACTGTTGGTTCCAAAAAACAAAACTGAGACATAAGACATTTTCAGTAAGGTAAGCAAGTAATACAGGTTTGAAACAACGTATGGCTGAGTAAATAACACCTTTTTCATTTTTACTATATGTACTATCTCTTTAAAACCACTAAAATGTAATGTTCTTGTACATGTATCATGGTATTGCTAAGGATTTGTGAGTATAGCATCATGGTAGTACCATGCAAATAAGGATTTTTCATAATTTTTCATGTACCTGTGTTCTGTGAAGAACCTTGCTATGTTAATACCATGCACCAATACCATTTTCTTCTGTGCACAGAATCCTCTACACTCAACCCATCATGGCTGATCTTGATACTGATTTCACCAGTGGAGATGCTGGGGCTTCCCTGACCTTCCCCATGCAGTGCAGTGCTCTGCGTAAGAACGGCTTTGTGGTGCTAAAGGGGCGTCCCTGCAAGATTGTGGAGATGTCTACCTCCAAGACTGGCAAGCATGGGCATGCCAAGGTATCGTGTTAATAAACTCACTGTCAAAGGCTTATGATTAAAGACCAAATTTCATAATGCGTTGCATATTATTTAATCTGTAACTTGATCATTAAAATGCATAAATGCTGAGGCTTCATTTCCTTTTCAGGTGCACATGGTTGGAATTGACATATTTACTGGAAAGAAAAATGAAGATATCTGTCCTTCCACCCACAACATGGATGTTCCTAACATCAAGAGACTGGACTATCAAGTAAGTTCAGAACATAATCCTGTTTAGGCCTTTTTTTCAGTCATGTTCACGTATGACACTTGTAGTTGTTTTATTATTAAACTCTCTTCTCTTTAGGAGCTTGAACTACACAGAAAATGTCTAAATGTGATCTATTCTGTGGTATTTTGTAGTAATGTGGCTTTTTTTTGTCTTTCCTTTTGCGTAGTTGGTTGGCATTACCGATGGCTACCTTTCCCTGTTGAAGGATAATGGAGATTTGCGTGAGGACCTCAAGCTGCCTGATGGGGATCTGGGCAAAGAAATAGAGAGCAAATTTGAATCTGGGGATGAATTTCTGGTCTGTAACCCATTACATTATTTCAAACTTTAATTTGAAAAGTGTCCTCACTGTTACATGATCATAGACCCCCATTACTGAAGGTGCATTCATGCCTTGTCGGATTCACCATAATTACAAGATTCTGACTTATAAAAAGCATTCACATCCTTGTACAACTCGGATTTACAACTGTTAAACTCAGAATTTTCTTGGAGTTCAGACTTTTACTATCTACACACAATATACACACAAGTGTTACAGACTTTCTAAAAAATAAAAAAAGGTAGGTTGAGAACCTGGTTCCAATCGATAACTGACGTATAGATTTTGAGATGCACTACTTCAAAAAGTAGTTCTAGTATTTCACCATTATTTTGAAAGACTCTTAGCTTGTTTTTTGTGATTTCTTTGCTTCTTGTAGGTCTCCGTATTGGCTGCCATGGGGGACGAGTGTCCCATTGCCATCAAGCCCATGAGCTCTTAATGAACAGAAGCTGACGGGCAGGTTGAGTGAAGGCCTCTATACCACAAATATTCCATTTTAGTTCTAAAAGTCACCAAAGCCACAGCCTTCACAAACCACCCAGAATTGGTTCTGTTAAACAGTAAAGATGCTGGACCTTTTGACCTGTCTTATGAGGTGTTGTCTAATCAGGATATTTCCAAATCACAATGGGTTTCCTGCACGCTTGTTCATTAGTTCTCCTTATCCATTCCTTCTTCGTTATACAGAAGCACTTTTATCATTCATTATTAAAAATGGGAATAGTTTTTTAATGCTCTACTTATTGCAGAAACCTTTTTATTCATGCCGACAGGCCTTAAACTGTTGCAAATCAGGCAGCAGCCATGGAAGATTACTTCTATGAATGACACGGACTAGTTTGCCGGCGTTTTGGTACATCTACATTTGTGCCAAAGCCTGTGTGTCTCAGGTAGGCTAGGATTTGTCTGCATGTCGCTCGGACAGCTTGCCACTTGTTGGGGTGACCGGAAACTAGCGATCCTAAGGCAGATTCAACATTTACTGACATTTAATTCAGACCAAATATAATGTAACTGATCTGAGTAACACAACCTGTTTTTTTTCCCTTTTTTAAAAAAAAAAAAGTAATTCTACACTCCCCCTTGAGAGTCAGGTTTTTTTTTATTTTTTTTTTTATTTTATTTTTTATAAAGTTTACAGCATCTGTCCCTCCATAATTAACATTTCTTTTGGTAGCAACAGAGCAATAACCCAACTTTGTTTGTTACATCTTAGTCGTAAGGGAAGATGATAAGAAGGGCCTTTGAGCTTTGCGTTGGCTACGGACGCCCTCTGTAACAAACTCTGTTTACAGTAGCTTTGTTATACAACAAATTTTTATGCTGCAAAATTAGCTTATTTTTTTGTACTTGTGGACAGGCACAGTGTGTGCTCAAGGGCTTCAATATCAACACTTTCTTTAGTATTCACATTTTATTGCATCTTACGTGCACCTGACTTGTTTACTGGTATAAAGGCTTTATTTGTTTAGTTTTTTTCCCACCTTCAGGGCACAGTTTGCATTTGGCTCATAACAAATATAGTATTTTCATAGTAGTAGGCATTTTTATTTACTCTGAAATTCCTTTCTTGATGTAGAAATGAGGAACATTGCTAATATATCTTTGCGTTTGATTTCCTCTAGGTGTTAGTTTTGATTCTGAATTTTCCTCCTAGTAGTTTTTGTTTACTGTAAGATGGATCAGCAGATGAAAATGCTCTTGGTTAGGCAAAATGTTTTTCTTCAAGGGATTTTTTTTTTAGCTGTGTTGGCTGTCATCTTACTATGTTCCCTGTTTCAACTAGTTTTTGTTCTTGTAAATCTAGCTCTCATATAGAAGTAGCCGTAGATCTGAGAGCTCAAGTGGAAAGTATTGTATGACTGTACAGTATTGAGAAACTTTCACATTGGCATATCAAACTCCGTGAGTCTCTCAGGTTTCCAGTGTTCAGTTATTTTGCTGTTTGTAGTATTGGTCCTAAATAGCACTGTTAAATACCTCTCTGTCTCTATCTGCAAAACATTAGTATTCATGCCTACAAGTGAATCACACACTTCATTTACTGGATGCATATATTTGGTTAATTTCCTTTATTTTAGCAGCTTGACTATCAGCGACGGGCAGAAAGAAACTTGGGTCATTATATTACCACTGCAAACTAAGAAGGTGCTTAATCAGACAAGCAGTAGAAATGATAGTGTTCAGTGTTTTTCATATGGCTAGTTGAATGATAATTGTAAGAAACCACAGATTGGGGTAAGAGGGGAGCAATTATAATAAACTCAACTGAAAAACTAATGAGCTTTTGTGTTTATTTTGTCCACATATTTAGTTTGCAATAAGACTGGGAAGACTTTTACATAAGACTTTAGTTTTAATTGTTTAATATTTCTCATATTTGCATTACAATTCAAAGGTTTGGGATCAGTGAGATGTTTTTTTTTCAGAATTTATTTTATAAAAAAATACAGTAAAACAGTATTTTTTTTTAGTTGTACATTGTGAAATATTACTAAAATATTTAAATAACTAGTTTAATATATTAAAAAAAAACTAAATTAATCACATGAATAAATCGTTGTAATGTGCTGATTTGATGATCAAATACTGCTTATCCATGTTGATCAATTTAGTAAGCGTTAACTTCTTAATTTTTACAAGTCTTACTGACTTGAACGACTTAAAATACAAGTCGTTTTCCTGAGGGAAAAAAAACAATAGCTACTGGTTAATTTTAGATTTTTTTTTTTGTTTTTTTTTTGTGTTTCTATTAAATAAAAACAGGCCCCTTTTGGACAGTGTGTGAGTGTTTTACTTTATTTTGTACCCATTTATTTTTATTTTTTACTTGTCTATCTGAATGTTGTAGTAATGAGGAAAAAAAAAAAGCTTAGAATAGTCCATCAATAAGACGTAAAGGAACAATGTTTCTATCTATGAGTACTAAAGCACTTCTTATATCACACATTGATTGTGATTTCTTTAACTTCTGCTGTTCCTCTGATAGTCGGGTAACAGGAAAAATTGTTAGGCTACCTTTTATTGTAATAAGCAAAATGCTTATTTCAAGCTTAATATAGCTATAAATGTTAGGCTACATTTAGTACAGATTAGCAGTGTTTGTTTTTCCACAATGAACCGTTGACTCATAAAGAATCCCACAGTTAACCAAGGTTCTTCACAAAAGAGCAAAATTCCACAGAAATTTTTAATCCACAGAAATTACAATTGCTTAGTTGTGCTGTAGGCGCTGTTTTAAACATTGTGCCCAAATGCTGCCAACAGCATTGTCAGTTTTATGGTATTTTGTTGAAATGTGCCAGCTTTGAAGGCTGAAACAAAAATGGCCCTTTGAATGTCAATTGGCTGGCAAGCTTTAAGCTTTTCTGATTTTTTTCCACAGCTGCCCTTTATGTCTCCAGCCTTGACGACAACTAAGCTGCTTTGGCAGACGCTTCAGTTAGCAACGGTACCGTTTCTTTAAACTTGGGCGTCCTGTTTTTTATACAGTACCTTTATGTGATTTCTTTTCTGGACATTTTAGCATATTTAGCACACAAATTGTCTTACGACATAATATTCTTGCACTGTCCCTTTTATTTCGCAACCGCTCTCCTGTATTTACATATTTATAATATACTGTGGCCACTAGATGTCAGTAAAGCACAGTAAAACTACCACGCCAGGTCTGCCCAACCTGCTTTTGATTAAGATGTGAAAGTTATCTTACTTTTTTATTTTAGCTTTCCCCCTGTTTACATACGAGTCTGCTAACAGGAGCCCTTAGGCATTGCCAAATGGTTCCTATGTAGAAAATGTTCTGCTATACATTTGAGAGACGGATTGTGAATTGAAGTGCTCTGTTTACATTTCTAAACTCTGAAATAAGAACATACATTCTAGAGGCCAGAAAAAGACGTAGATTCAATGCAGATGTAGATGTCTTTGTGTCCATATGGTCTTATATGTACATGTGTGTGGAAGAAAAAAATTGTTCCACCACATCCATTAGTTTTAATGGTGCACAAATCCAGGGGTGATTCTTGTTGGTTCTAGTATATAACATTGCACATTGCTTCCAGATGGAGAAGAATCTGTCATTTATTTCTTGGTCCTTGTTTCACTGTTGAAACATGTGGAGTGACAGCTGTTCTCACCAGTGAAGAAGATCAAATTTAATATAGGGGTGTATATGTGGTTTCTTCCTTTGAAAACAAACATGTATTATAATAGCTTGAGATGTGGCTGTTTGTATTCATTATACCAGGGACTTCAGATTTAAGGCATCTGCAATGTATTGTATGTAAACTGTCTGATGCACTGGATAGACTAAAATGATTTAGATCTTTGGTTAAATAGTCCCGCATTTTCACCTTTTGCAACTAAGTCGAAACTTTAAAATTATGACGTTGCATCAGTTCTGTAATAAATCTCTTTTTCAGTATGTTTTTGAAATGAGAATTATCTAATAAAAAATGCACAAGGAGGTTTGCAGATCTTAGCTTGCTGATTTCACAAACTGGCATCTGGTTTAACCTAGCTGGTCATTTAGTCTGACAAGAGTCCAAAACCTCTCTCAAATTAGCAATCCATCTTTGTTTTCAGTTTAGTGTTGTCTTTAGTGTTAGTTAGTTACGACTTACCTACTGTATCATATTTGATATGCAAATTTCTAAGACCTCTAAATTATCAACATGATCAAAACTTACTGAAAAACTGTTGCACACGATCTATTACATGACTTCTGTCGTCTGATTGACAGTGTATACTTTTTTTATGAAGTAAAATGCCTTTTAATATAATTCTACAACAAGTGGTATGTGCAGCTTTTTGCTTAGGTTCACTTGAGTATCCATACATCAAAATCATTAAAATGCAATGCATTGGATTTTGAGGAATGTTTGTTTGTACATCTTTCTATCATCTCTGTATTGTATCATCTTACTAAGACATTATTGAGAGATTTAGAATGATATTTATCTTTTATGTAAGTATTCTGCTATATTGTTATAAAGATCTCAGTGATTTACATTACAAGCTATCAGAATTTAATCTTACTTTTTGGACATATAAATATCAGAAACTGCACTAAATTGCATATTTTTGCTCAGTTTGAGCCTTTGAATAAAACTGCGGTTTAGTTTTAGCTCCATTTTCACCTATATCTTATTATATAGTATGGACCATGAAAAGCCCTGTGCATCAAATATAATAATAAAAAACATATCCAGCTTTAAAAAAAGATTTTAAAAATATTTTTGTAATGGTTTGATACTTTTTCCAATTATTTAACAGGGTGTCATTATATTAATACAAATACTCAGATACAAAAATTCCCTGATGTGTATTCTGGTAGAGAATAATGCTGACCTTGACCCTGCTCTCAAAGCCACCTGCCATCTGAGGGCTATTTACTTATGACCCATGATTTAAACTCAAGTCATCCTGAAGAATGGAGGAGGTATTTTGTTTTACAGGGAACAAGGCTACAAACTAAAGCCTTCCAGCAAAAAAAAAAAACACCCAGTTCGCCTTGTTACGGTATTGGCTTCCCCAAGGGTCACTGAATTATGAGTCATTGTGTCACTGTGTAGTCAGAG